GAGGTGGCCGGCTGGCCGTTCCTCTAGAGTGCTCAGACTCTGGGGAGTCCCCCAGAAAGGCCCTCACCGCCCTGGCCTCACTCTCCTCCCCCTGGGGGCAGTGGCTGTGCCCCACAAGGGCCCAGGAAGCCTGAGGGAAGGTGTCACCCTTTCTTCCTGTGACACTAAGAGCCTTAACCATGTCTTCTTGGCCAGTGTTCCTGGGGGTGTGGCTCCCTTGGACCGTTCCTGTCAGGCGGTTGGAGCACAGCTGCCGTGGGACGGGGTACCCTCACCCGTGGACGTGTGGACGTGGGGCCCGGGCTGTGAACATCCGCCGTAGCTCATCAGACCCTGAGATGGAACCACGGGAACCTTCCTGGCAGCATCTGTGGATGGAAACTGAGAACTTTGGGGACGGGTTTTGTTTAAAAATATCCCCTCAGGGCCGCAAGCCCTCCTGCTCTTTGCCGCGGCCCTGGCTCTGGTGTTTGTGTTTTGTCCCCTCTCTGGGTGTGTGCATCTGTGTGTCACCTTCTTTTCATTGCCCGTGATGGCTTTGTGAGTGTCCTGCCAGTGGGCCATGGATTGAGACTGGGAGAAAGCGGTTCTGGGTTCTTTTCCTCCTGTGTTTGCGACTACGTGGCAGGTCAGATGTCAGCTGAACCACAGCAGTGCATGTCCCAGTCCCCTTTCACTAGTTGTCTATTTATCTGGGGTGCTGGGATGTGACCCAGGCCTCACGGTGTTTGGCAGGGCCTCTGCCATGTGAGCCCCCCAGCCCTGTAGCTGCCTTTCACTTCTGCTTTTAGAAGGGAAGCTGGAGACTCCTGTTCTGGGGTCAGCCAGCTGGGGAGCCCTGAGCCCTCTCCATGTGGGGTCTGAGCACCAGTGTTTTGATGGCTCACCCACCCTATGTTTAGGACGTGTGGTGCGGTGGAGTGATTCTGGCCATATCCACATGTCAGTGGTTCTAGACCTTTTAGACAGAAATCGCAGATGGCTGGTGAGACTGGCTGCTTTGGGGAGGCTGGGCAGTAAAGCAGGAAGCCGTCGGGCCGTGTCAGTTCTCCCACGGCGACTGGGGTTGCTGAGGCTGTGACTCCCGTTATCCTCATCTGTGTCTGGACCATTTTTCAACCTCCAGGACCAAGACCAGGACCAGGACCAGGGAGAAGGTCATCCTCTGAGAATAAGAAAAATGCAGGGCCCCGTTGGCTGCAAACGTGGAGACCTGGAGACTCCACTGGAGACCATTTGTACTGATGGGGAGACCACACGCGGGGAGTCTGTCTGGGTCTGGGAGGAATCTAACTCAGTTTATTAAACAAACTCTCAAACAGGGCTTAGCGCATGCCAGGCATGGTCCTAAGCAGTCTGCCCGTGTGACTTGATTCAATTTCTCTGCCAATTTTGGCAGGTGCTCTGGGGAAACGGAGGCTCCTAATGGCTTTGTGTCTTGCCCAGGCTCACACTGTGGGGACTGACTCTAGACTTCTCTGGAATCTGTCTTTTGTACACCCTGCCAGCGCCACCCCCAGGGTGGCTCTTTGCCTGCATTTTGGAACTTCCAGGTAGATGGCCACTCACCATTAATGCCCATGTTCCTGGCAGAATGCCCATAGGGGACAGGGGACAGGGACAGGCTTTTCTCCTGCCAGAATGTGCCACTTCAAGACCCCGTTGCCTCTCTCCTGTTGCGAGGGAGGTTGGACCCAACCCAACTCCCCGGGTTGTCTGGAGCAGTGTTCCTGTCTGGGCTCCATTCCTCCTGCCTGCTCTGTCCTGTGCCTGGGTTTCTCCCTGGGTGAAGTCAGGGAAGGGGAAGGCCCACTTCGTGGTGCTGGGGAAACTGTAACAAACCTGGAGGACCCGCCACTGACCACACGTAGCTCTGTCACTAACCAGGAATCTCCTATACCTGGTTTAGGGAAGTGATTGTGGGGTCGAGCAGTTCCTTCCCCATCAGAATGACAAAGCTGGTGTTCTGGTTCCCGGTTCCCTCCCGGGCCAGACAGACTTCATCACACACACTGAATGGAATTCACACAACTGCAGTGTGAGATCTGAGAATCTGAAAAACCGAGCTTGGCCTGGGTAGCCCAGTGGACCCCTATGCTGGCCCCTTTGCAGCTGCTCTGGACTCCCTGGTGAGCTTCCAGTCAGTTCTGCTGCAGATCTGGAGTCTTTCCAGCAGCATGCTTGAGCAGGAACCGGAGCACTGTTACAGATCCCAGTTTTCCTTTCCCCGGGGACGAGCAACATAACAAGCCTGAGTTGGTGACGTGGGGCTGAACGGACCATTCTGGAAGTGTTTCCTGAACAAGTTGAACTTGGGGCAGTCATGGGCTGAAGCTTCCATTGGGGCCCCGTGGGCAGTGGCTGGGCCACTCTTGCCAGCCTGGCTCCGCTGACCTGGCTCCTCAGCTCTGACCCTCTGCTGTGTTGGCTGAACTTGAACCAACTTGAGACTTTTCTGTTGTGTTCTGGCCCAGGAGACAGTTTAGTTCCCAGGGAAGCTCAAGTGAAAGAAACTACTGGGATTCCGGGAGCTTCAGCTTGAGAATGGATATTTAAGAGGGCAAGGGTGAGATGATCTGTTATAAGGGGAGGACTCACAAACTGCCCAGGGCAAGCTTGTCCTTGCAGACAGGAAGTCAGTGTCCAGAGAGGTGGAGGGGCCGTTCACAGCAGGCGAGCAGCTGGTGCCTGGCTTTCTAGCTCAGCTTGCATTCACAAACCACTGGGAAACTTATTGGGAGGCTTGGCTTCAAATGCACTGCCTATTTGGCAAAGCTGATGTGACAGTTCAGGTCTTGGTGACTTACCAATTTATCTTCATTGCTTTTCATGCTTGAAATAGCAACCAGGGTTCCCGCTGACATTCACTTAGCTGTAAGTTCAGCACCTGTGCTCTCGTAGACCAGCCTGTCCTGTTGTAGACTTGCCTCACGTTGCCAGAATGAGCTAGCTTAGGACACCCGAGAGCAGCCCGGGAATTCCCTTAGCAACCCTAAAGGCTACAGATTACATCTAAAACAGTATTTAAGAATTTCAGGCATGGAAACTACTTGTAAATTATAAATTTACAAGCTTGGCCTGTAAATTCTTTAGCTTGGTAACTGCATTTAGTTTGCTCATACTGGTGAGAGGAGTGGTCAACATATTATGTGGATTGAGTGGCAGCCCCTATATTTGCCCCCTGCTGGCTGGCATTTGGGATTTCTGTTTTTTCTGTAGTTGCTCCGATGATTTTTTGGAACAGTTATTTCATTTTTTTACTGTTTTTTAAAAAGGCGAGTGAAAAACTATTTTAGGCACACGTATTAACAGAGTTCTCTTTTTGTCCCGAATGAACTATGTAACAGAGACTTGAAAAAAATTCTTCCAGGGTCAGTGGAAGAATGTCCCTGTTCCTTAGTTGCTCTTGTGGAATCTGGTGGTAGGAGCTGAGGACATTTTTCACAGTTGGAAACCTCATGAACCTGGTTGCTGTCTACAGGATCAGGGTGTCTGAAATAATTCATGGCTTGTGGCAACCATGGGGAAGCCTTTCACTTCTTTCGGTTTATTAATTACTTACTAGGGATTGAACCCAGGGGTGCTTTACCATTGAGCCATGTCCCCAGCCTTTTTAATTGAGACAGGGTCTCACTGTTCTGAGTGCCTCACTAAGTTGCTGAGGCTGGCCTCAAACTTGGATCCTCCTGCCTCTGCCCTCTGGGTTGCTAGGCTTGAGGGCATGTGCCACAGCACCCGTGCTCTCCTTTTCTAAATGTCTGCAGTTGCCAGTTTCTGTAGGGTCTTGGTCATTGTCTTCCATCGTGGGGAACAGATAGGACAGCCTGCTGTTTCTGCCTGGTGGTGTCCAACATAACGTGACTTGAAGCCTGGGAGGAACTGCCCGTCCACACTGATCTGGGAGGTAGCTCAGGGAAGGAACATTGCTCTTTGGGTACTGGATTCCAGAGAGCTCACTGCTTGCCTCCGGTGGTTCTGTGCCACAAACTACACAACTCTGCCCAAGATGGCTCTTCCCAAAGAGGGAGGCAGCCTGGGACCCTGAGAGACGCCACGTTTTGGCTGTAGGACCTGCCTAAGGGTACACACCTCCAGCTCCTGCCAAACCAGCCAGGCTCCTCGTCTAGCTCGCCTCTCCCCAGGTCACTCGGAGAGCGGGGAGTGGAGGGGAGGGCATGTTCGTTTGTGTTTCGCTGTTAACCTGATCAATAGTGAGGCCCAGCAGCAGGTCCAGTGGCTGCTGTGACTTTGGAGTGGTGATGACCATGACTTTGGGGAGGTGTCTGCAGCAGCCATCGTGAGCCTGGAAGCATGGTCGCTCCCATGGGTGAGAAGTGAGCCTCATGACCTCTTTTGCAGTTCACTGCCCGTGTTCATAGAAGGACATGCACATCATGTATGGTGGCTTCCTAAGAGCCTGTCCCCGTGTGCAGCGAATGTGCCAAGGTCCCAGGAACACCCCAGTGAGCTGTGGGTGGCACGGATCTACCTGCTGGGGCCTCCCCTGTGTGTGTTGTGAGTGTGAACCTGTCCCAGGGAGGCCTGTTTGGACTCGGGTTTGCTCCTGCCTTGAAGAGTGTCCTTCAAACTGTCCTCCACAAGGTCATGCTGTAGGCAGAGGTAACAGAATTTTCTTAGCAACAGACTTGCTTGGTGCCACTTTAGAACCTGGCACAGACTGTGATAGCAAGAACTGAGATCATGCAGGTAGCATTGCTTAAACAGCTTCTTTTAGAATTCCAGAGGCCTGGGCTGCTGGGTCAGCTTCAGTGGGAAGCTTGAGCCCTAGTCAGTTACCTGCTTTCCTGGGCTGGCTTCTACCTGGACATGGGGTCCTGGTTGGTCACCTCCTTCTGGCCATTGATGCCTCAGTCCCAGTTCCAGCCACGTCTGGAGGCCGGTTCCTTTGGGGGCAGGGTGGGGGAGCTCTGTGCAGTGTGGCAGGGTGTTATGTCCTGAGATGAGCAATAACCCTCTGTCTTCCCCTGTCTTCCCACCAGGGCGAGAGCAGTTCCACGGCCTGGGCTCAATGTACTGCCGGGGAGCAGCCGCTGTCATCCTCACCTACGACGTAAACCACCTGCAGAGCCTGGTGGAGCTGGAGGACAGGTTCCTGGGCCTGACGGACACGGCCAGCAAAGACTGCCTATTTGCCATCGTGGGGAACAAAGTGGACCTCACTGAGGAGGGGGCCGCAGAGAGTGGGGAAAAGGAGGGGCATGACCCCAGCAAGGCTGGGGGAGGCTGTGCTTCCCCCAGGGTGCCCAAGCAGGTGCAGCTGGAGGATGCGATGGCCCTTTATAAAAAGATCCTCAAGTACAAGATGCTGGATGAGAAGGACGTGCCGGCTGCTGAGCAGATGTGCTTCGAGACCAGCGCCAAGACGGGGTATAACGTGGACCTCCTGTTTGAAACCCTGTTTGACATGGTGGTGCCAATGATCTTACAGCAGAGGGCTGAGGGGCCGCCGCAGACTGTGGATATAACCAGCAGTAAACCCACCAAACGGACCAGATCCGGGTGCTGTGCCTGACCTGCAGAAGGCCTTCCTGACCCTTGGTCTGTGCCTGTGGGAAGCCAGCTGGGGTCAGAAAAGAGCATAAGAAATCAGGGAGTCTCTGTATAGTGCAGTACACGAGGAGTGCTACTAGTCACTGATGAAGATCAGTGTGCACAGGCGCCTCAGTGGGCCAGGAGGTGGGGACAGGAACACGCCACAGAAACTGCAGGGCCAGGACATGGATGCTGCCTCTCCCGCTACCTCTGCGTCCCAGGTCACACCTGCGGTTGGCTCCCGTCCTCAGGTCTGTCCCCTGCCTGAGACCTGCCCTGCACCCTCTGTGGCCACCATGCTGTGCAGCTTTATGCTTGCTGCTGTTCTGGAACTTTCACTGTGATTTCCTTGTAGTCCTCCCCTTTGGTACTTGTACTTTGACACATTGTGATAATGATTCTCCACATTTAATTTATACGAAATCAGGAATGCCTATTTTATATTGGTTGAAACACTGTGCGCTACACATTTTATTAAAGATGATTTTGGGGAAACTCGTGTGGAGACTGGACTGATTTGGACTTTATGTGAGCCCCAGGGGCTGCTTGCTGGGGAAACTGCTGGTGAGCCTGGCCGGCTTCTGTGTCTTTAAAGCCACATCAAATCCATGCAGGTTCCAGAATATGTAGACTGGCCCATTGCTGAGCTGAGTCCAGTCCATGGCCTGAAAATCCACAAGGGCAGTCCCGCTGTCGGTCTGGTCCTGCTCAGGTCTGTTGGGGCCTCGTGTTCCCAATTGCCACAGAACCCCGCTTGCAGTTCTGCTGTGGGTGGTGGTGGATACTCTTGATCTAGAAGCTTCTAGACAGAGGAGTCATAGAAGGCAATTTCTGCTTTCTTAGGAACATTTTTAGTGTGTATGTGGGGTACCGAGGATTGAACTCAGGGGCCCTAGACCACTGAGCACATCCCCAGCCCTAATTTGTATTTTATTTAGAGACAGGGTCTCACTGAGTTGCTTAGTACCTCGCAGTTGCTGAGTCTGGCTTTGAACTTGTGATCCTCCTGCCTCTGCCTCCCAAGCCTGGGATTCCAGGTGTGCGCCATCGCGCTCAGGCCTTTCTTAGGAATTCAATTGAGAGTCAGTAGGCTGGACAAGGAGGCAGAGTGGGGTGGAAGCCAGTGGGGGTAACAGGGTGCGCGGGCGGGCAGTGGTTCTGCTTTCTGTGGGGCGTGTTTGCTAATTTTGTTGAAGGCCTGTGGTCTGGTTGCTGGATTGCTGCAGGCCTGGTTCACCTGCACCTGTGAAGTGAGTGTGCTCGGGTGTGTGGTGAAGCCTGGCATTGAGGCAGTACCAGGCAGTCCTGCATGTGTGCTGAGACCCCTGCTGAGCAAAGGATCCCCCGGGGTCCAGACTTGTTTTACAACAGCGCATCGGAAACTGAATGTGAGACAGTTTGGTTGCTTTTCGTTGATTTGTGGGAATTTGCCTTTGTAGGGGCAGAAGTTGTATTTATTTTCCAAGATGTGCATCTGCTGTGATAATCTAGGAAACACGCCACCCAGAGAGACCCTGGGCTCTTTCTTTGAAGCTGTGGAGGAAAGGGGTCCTGTGATGTTGGGTGTGCAGTTGGAGCTTGAAGAGGGTGGTGGGGGTGAGTTGCTAACTCCTTTCCTCCTGAATGTTACGATTCGATTTTCCACCTCCGAGCACCAGGCCCTGGTTTTCTTGACTGGCCGTGTGTCAGGTGGCTGGTGCGTGGGGAGAGCACACCAATGCCACGTGCTCATGTTGCCCTGTATTTGATGCCCTAGAAATAGTCACTTTGAGCTCCTTGTATGCCAGCTTTTCTGAGTAGTTGGCCTTGCAGCCTTTAAATTTTTTTTTTTTTTTTTTTAGTTATAGAAGGACACAGTACCTCCATTTATTATTTTTATGTGGTCTTGGGGATCGAACCCAGTACCTCGTGTGCTAGGCAACCAGACCTCTGCAGCTGCTGGTGTCACAACCTCTAACTGGTCCTGCATATGCTGGGCCCCTTGGGGGACACCCGACAAGCAGCAGCTTTCTCCTCAGCCCCCGGTGCTGCCCGTGGGGAAGGATGAAAGATGCTGGGGTCCTGGCTTCTTGGCACCCTGTTCTGGGTGGTCTCCCAGCTGGACACACTTCCCACTTGTGGGTCTGTCCAGCTTGTGCTCCAGAGCTGGCTGGAGGGTGCAGTGCAGCCCTGCTCGCGGGAGTGCCTTCTGGTCGTGGGCTCATGGGTGCCTTCCCTGGAGGCTCTGGGTGGAGAACACCTCCCTCAGGAGGGCTGCCCACGGACCGTGGCTCCTGACTGCAGTTCCACGTGGTTCTGGCGTTCTGTCCTCCCTTCTTGGCTCCCTCTGTATTTACTGGATCCCGCGGGTCCTCTTGGGAGGAGAGTCTGGAGGCACCTAGTCAAGGCTGAGGACTCAAGGCCCATGCTGTGGGAAGGGCTCCTGAGGCCAGAGTAACACACGCGTGGGTCTGTCTGGCTGCAAAGACAGCTCCCTGCTGCACCTTCCCATCTGTGTCCTTGGGGTGTAGACAAGGACAGGGCACTGGGGACGGGTCTGGACTTCCCAGGTTGTCCCTGGTGGTGGCCGCAGTGCTCTCGTGGGAGTAGGGTGGCTCTTCAGGCTTCAGACGGGTGGATGCCTGCTGACCCAGGTCAAGTGGAGCAGCCCCTCATCCCCTCGTTCCATCCCATCACCCAGTTTTTCCCAGCAGGAAAGTCACGGAGCAAAGCCGTCTCTTGGGTGCACAAGTCACCTTGGCACCCAGTTGCCACCAGTGAGCTCCTCCTGGCAGGAGCGAGGTGTGGAAGACCCAGGAATCCCACAGATGAAATCGAATTTTCTAAGGCTAGACTTAGGAATAAGTCAGCACCCACAAGTGGGGTCCCACCCTGGGTGAGGCTGGTCCCTCCCATGCATGAGCAGGTGACCTGCATCATGATAGGCTGCAACACAGGGCTGGTCAGTGCCATCATGGGACCCACATCTTCCTACTGCCTTGCCCGCTTCTGCCTTGGACTTTGCCCATGGAAGGGAGGCAGGGCGTCCGCGAGTTACCTCTGCATTTGGCAGAACACCCCACAGGTCAGTCTGCCTGTGGAGCGGGGAGTCGGGGCTCCTAGGGGTGAGCTGGGAAGGATGGGGTTCCCTGTGCCCCCTCCTGTGTGGCTTCCCAGCTGCAGCCCTACCCTCTGAGGAATGCCTAGCAGTGAATTTTTTTTTTTTTAAAGAGGGGGGGGAGAGAGAGAGAGGGAGGGAGGGAGAGAGAGAGAGAGAATTTCAATATTTATTCTTTAGTTTTCGGCGGACACAACATCTTTGTTTGTATGTGGTGTTGAGGATCGAACCCGGGCTGCACGCATGCCAGGCGAGCGCACTACCACTTGAGCCCCATCCCCAGCCCTGGCAGTGAAAATTGACATGTGCACCACAGAGTGCCTCTTCCTTCCCAGATTCCTGCTTGTGACTCCAGCTGAGGGGACAGTGGCAGAGGTGATGCCAAAGGAAGTGCCTGGTACATAGTTGGTGCACAGTAGATGGTAGCTTTAGGAAGGTCAGCTGGGTTCTTGGAGGGAGTGTGGGGCTTTGGGCCTTGGTGTCTGCTGGCTGAATTGGTTATCTGGCTTTAGGCCGAGTGTTTGGCCACCTTTGGGGGATATGAGGCTTAGGAAGTGGGGCACAGAGTGGTGGGGGGAGAGGAAGTGCCCCTGCAGATCGTGAGCTGAGGGTCGGCAATGGGCGGCCACCCACAGCCCAGGTGAGGTGCTGCTGGCAGCTGCTCTGCAGGAGTGATCAGGAGCCTCTTCTGAAAGGCGTCAAAGGAAAAGGATTCAGGGAAAGCGGCGTCCTGTGTGCAGCTTTTCTCGTAATGCCGCTGCCCATGATTTTGAGGAATATGAGAACTGTCGAGGGCACAGGACAGCCCGCCTTCCTTTTCGGAGGGCTGTGCACATGTGGGTGCCTCTGAAAGGGGTGGGAGGAACTGGCTGGGTGGGGCATCTCCAGGAGCTGCTTTCCTTTGGACCTGGCAGGTTCAGCTCTGGTGGCCTCACTGGGCACCAGGATAGAAGCTTGAGGTGAGACAGGGAAGAGGCCACTCCCGGTGTCCGCCCTGGCGTCCTTCACAGGGAGGATGCTCTGTTGAGGCTGGCTGCTGCTGCTTCAGACCTTTAACTGGACGTGTGTGTTTAGCTTACTGATGGATCAGCTCCGGCCAGCTCCCGAGACCTCCTCCCCCCCTCCTCTCTTCCTGCCCCCATTCTCTTCTTCCTCCCTCCACTTCTCCTTCCCCCTCCCCATCCTCTCTCTCTCAGATTTTGAACTCAGTCCAGACTTTATCTGGTTTTCCTAACATCCTCTCTGGCTCCAGGACACCACCCCAGGACACTTGGAGGTTGTGTCTCCTTAGGCTTCTCTCGGCTGAGACGGTGGCCTGGACAGTGGTGAGCGTACGGTGGGTTGTGCCGGGTAGCTGGGTTGGAACCTGCATGACGCTCCCCTGGCTGCACTCTGGGTCCTGGGGAGAACCATCAGGGCCGAGCAAGGTTCTTGCCTTGGCAGGGTGCACTCTCAACAGATCTGGGTCAGCGCAGGTGTTGGTGTCTCCTGTCGGTCACTCTGCCCCCATTCCTACTGTCTCCCCGGAGAGTCCCTCTGCAGTGGGCACTGCTGATGTGGGAAGGAGCGCCCCGTCCTTTATTCTGTCTTTTGCCTGGGAGATTTGCCCCTTCCTCATGCATTATTTATTCAGGTGTCCACCTGGACCTGTGGACGCCGACTTTATACACTGGGTCCTAAGCCTACACTATTTCCTTGCTCCAGTTGTTCCAGCTCTGACCACTGGGGGTGCTTCCATGTGTTCCTGTCATTGAACTTTTCGTTGTTTTTTAAGACAGGGTCTCACTCTGTTGCCCAGGCTGGTCTGGGACTCATGGGCCCAGGTGATCCTCCCACCTCAGCCTCCTGAGTAGCTGGGACCACAAGAGCACCCCTCCTAGCGGAGGGGGTTTCATTGTAAACACTTCTGTACTTTTTGGCACCACAGATGGTCCAGTCCACTCTGTTTCCTGCCCTCGTCCTTGGATCAGCTCTCTGAGGAGCACTGGCTCCTTTTATTGGAGAGTGGCGTTAGGAGCCAAGACCCGGGCTGGGTGCCCATTGCTGCTGGGGGTTTTTTGAGCCCACTCAGCTGACGGTATATACACACTCAACTTTTTGCTCTATCTGCCCACGGACCTGTGTTTCTGCTACAGCAGTCAGATCGGAGTTTTCACTGACATCTCTGATCTGTTGCCACAGGGACCGTTCCCTCCGCTGGCTTAGATCTAAGTCCCAGCAGCGAGGAACACGGCTCCTCCCCACAGTGCCCTGGTTCAGCTGTTCCTGCTCAGCATCCACACGTCCCTTCCTGGAGCAGCTGGGAGGCAGGAGGGACTCTGTAGCACACTCAGTGGGTCACCAGGCACGCTTAGCTCTCAACACTGAGAAACGAGACCAGAGAGGCCCCTCCCGAGGTCCCGTGAGGGATGGAGCTGGACACGAGGTTCACAGCCTGGTGGTCTGCTTCCGCACGGGGACAGTGCCACTCATCACACTGGATAGGGATGGGGCCCCTAACAAAGCAGGGGTTAGGAATTGTGTCTGCTTTGTTTGGAGGTCTACATTTGAATCTGATTACGTACTGAGGACTCGGTCTCAGCCTTCCCTTATTTTAGGGCTAAGTAAAGGCCTCCTTTCTGTGTTTCACATGGGGCTTTTGACAGGCTTCAAAGCCCGAACGGAGCGAGCAGGAGACTTCAGGATGTCACGTCCTCACGATCACCTCCTTGAGGTGGGGGTTGGAGTTCAGAGCAAAGAGCTGCCTTCCAGGGGTCTCGGGGGGCTGCTGGACATCTTAAGCCCTGCGCTCCAGTCCTCCTGCGCACCTTTGTTCTAAGCCGTTGCTGTGGCAACAAGCTCTGTCAGGTGGAGGCGGATGGTACTAGTGCCTGCTTCCCCTGACGGTGGCTGGTGTTCTGCTCCCTCTCCCAGGAGGCTGGCAGGGGCCTGCTCAGCCCAGATCCTGGACAGCACCCCTGGAAGTGTGAGGGGATGCCCACGCTCAGGCAGCCTGGGCAGCAGGGACAGGAGCTGGTGGATGGACAGCTCAGGGCCCCTCTGCAGCCTTCTCTTGCAGTCCCCAGTGGAACTGAGCCCTAAACTTCCCACCTCCGTGACACGCCCTTGAACTGCCCTTTTCTCCTGATTTCACTCTGCCCAGGGGCCCTCATGACCATCCTGTGCAAGTCCTTCTCAGATGGCTCCTGGAGGCAGGAGAGACAAATGCCCATCTTTCCCAATGACGCCAGAAGGCGGAATGCTTGTTTCATTATGTGGAATTTTAGAGAGAAGTTGAGATTGGATTTCAAAGGGTTGAATTCTGTGAGTTGATCTCTGCACGAGTCAGGCTGGAGCTCTGTCCTTGGAGACTGGCTTCCCCAGTCCAGCCTCAGATCTGAAGGACACTGGGACAATGGAATGCCCCCAGAGCTGCATGGAGACATGGGCAGCGTGTGGGCTGCTTCCTGCCCACCGGACTGAACTGCAAGCAGCTCCCTGAGAATGAGTGACAACTGTGCGTCTAGGGTTGAAGGCCACTGAAACACAAGCCAGCGGCGCCAGGCGGGGCGGACCGAGGGAGTGCACCCCCTGGGGCAGGTTCTGAGGAAAGTAAGGCAGTCGCCAACCTGGGTTTAGAAAGTTCAAGACCAACGTTTATTTTGTGGTGGTTAATGGACAGGCAGTAGAGGACAGCTCACCAGGAAGAAGGGAGGGCGAGGTCCCCGGGACCCGTGGCCAGGGACACACTATACCCCACCTGTGACACCAGCCAGGTCTTTGCTTCCACACGGTGTGCTGTGCCCAGAGGCCCAGGGGGACGTGGTGGAAGTGTGTGTGTGGCTGAGAGGTCTTACAGGGAAAAGCACAAGGTGGCCTTCTTGAGGGGACGCAGGTCCCTTCCACGGGTCTGGAGAACACAGGGCTGCCATCCCGCGGGCGTAGGAAACAGCACCAAGCCCTTGGCGGGAGCCCAGGCAGGAACAGGTGGCGTCGGCCTGGCTGTCCTGGCTGCACCGTGGGCGGAGGGGACCAGGGGAGCTGTCTTGCGGGAGGAGTGAGGGCGGAGAGGCCAGTGAAGCAGCGGGCATGGCTGTCCTGCGGGATGGTGGCCAGCGGCCTGGGCAGGTCGGGCTGACAGCGTAGGCTGTTAGGGGGTGCCGTGCCGAATTCCTTTGGTAGCTTTTTTTTTTTAAAATTGTTTTTAGAGGAAAATAATAAATCCAGCTTTGGGGTCAGCATCTGAGGTAACGGTTAAGAGTGAGCACCAGAGTGGCCCCTCCGCCGCGGCGGGGGCTCACAGGTTCTTCATGCACACCTGGCAGCGGCTGATGTGCGTGCGGATGAGGCCGGCCTTGAGCGTGTCCGCCGAGGGCGTGCCCTGGAAGCTCTGCTCGGGGATGGTGGTCAGCCAGAAGCTGTACTTGTTGGCGTAGTAGTGGCAGGTCCCACGGGCCCCGTTGCACTCGATGAACGGCGTGGCGCGGAAGTCCTCCAGGCAGCTGCCTGGCGACACCAGTGACTGGCCACCGCCTTCGTCCCCAGCCGCAGTGTGCTGTGCAGAGACCCAGAGACGGCAGGTCAGGTTCTACTCTCGTAAGCCACAAAGCTTTTTGTTTGTTTTTGGTGTTCACAGGTAACAGGCCAAATTTACCCAGATCATTTTGGTGGAGAATTAACAGTGCAACAATGCCCCTCTGGTGGGGACAGCCCCACGTTGACACACAAGTAGCACCTACCATGAGGAAGGAATAGCCGATCCACAAGCTGCGCCAGCCGGCGGGGCAGTGGGGGATGGAGACGTCCTGACTGTGGACTGCGATGGCCACTGCTGGGGCCTCACACACGGAGCAGCGGCTGATGTAGGGCTTGATGTCGTCCTCGGCCACCGGCATCATGGGCAGCGGGGCCGTGGTGGAGAGCCAGTAGGACTTGTCGTTGCGGCTGGCATAGTAGCAGATGTCGCCCGGGTTGCAGTACAGGAAGGGCATGGTGCTGAAGCGCGCCAGGCAGGAGCCCGCCAGCCCTGCAGGAGGGGAGTGTGAGGCCACGCCCAGGCCCCCCGGAGCCTCATGCGGACATGCCCCACCTGTGGCCTGCCGTCTGCAGGGGTCAGACCAGTTCCCTCCGTTCCCTTTTCCCTCTTCACTGTTTCCCAGCCCACACTGGCACTTCCAGAGAGCCTGCTCCTCTGACGGCCTCCCACATGCCTCTGGGCCATGGGGGGCCAGGGAGCGGGGTTATTAGGAGTGGCATTGGTGAGGAGGCCACATTTGGCAGTGTCAACAGTGTCAGCACCAGGAAACTCCTGGTGGCACCTGGGCTGAGTGCCTCTCATGGTGCCCAGGAGCCTTCCCTGAAGGAGCTCTGGCTGGTGCCCCAGCCAGGCAGCCCTCCTACCTCTGGCCACAAGGCGGACTTTGTCCAAGGCCAGGGGGAATTTCAAGCTAAGCAGGTTTTGCTTTTCACACTGGTGGCTTAAAAGCTCACGGCCAGATGTGGGGCCCCTTTGGCACCCAGCGAAGTGTGAAGGCCCGCCTCCTGGCCCTGCTCCCAGGGCTACTTAGGTCCTGTCCTTGTTTGCTCTTGCTCCGCTGTTTTCTCAAGGCTTATTATGGAGGCAGAGCATACAGGCAGGAGCGTCCAGTCATCAGGGCGCAGCTCATCACCAGCAGGGTGCCCTGGTGTGACCCTATGGCAAAATGGACCATGCCAGCCTCCGGCATGCCCCTCCCCTCCAAGGGGACCACAGACTGAAGACCCACCCCACCTTACATTGTGGCATTTCCGTATTCGTGCCTTTTAAGGACTCACTTGAATAAACCTCCACCCCGCTCATGCATCTGTTTTCCTGGGGTCTGGCTTAGGACCACGTGCAGTCCAGCCCTAACCGCCCAGTCGAACTCTAGAGTAAGGGCGAAAATAAGGAGGAGAAGCAACTGGTGGCCTCCAGTGGAGAGGGGTCAGCATGTGGCTAGAGCCAGACATGAACCTGCAGAAGCCTTGATAAAGAGTTAAAAGGCGGCCTATGCCGGAGCGCTAAGTGTTAAGGGCTTAGTAAGACTCTGTCCAAAGGTATCTTAGTCCCTTCTGAGCCCTGAGTCTCACCATGGCCATCCAGCCTTGACCACTGCCAGGAGCAGAGTAGCCCTTGTTGGTAGTACCTACCCAGGTCCTGGTTGTGGGCTTTCTCTTGGCCTTCAAAGTACAGCAGGCTGTATCCGCTCCAGAGCTTGTTCATGCCCACGGGGCACATGGGCTCCTGGTCCGTCTGACTGTGCTTCACCAGGAGGTAGCCGATGCTGACGCTGCGGCCTGGCATGCCCGGCAGGCCTGGGATCCCTGGACGGCCTGGCTCCCCTAGGGCCCAAGAGAAAGCAGCCACTGTCCACTGCCCTGGGGACCCTCAGGGGGCTGCTCTTCCTTCTCCCCAGAGCGTGGGTCTCTGTGTGTTTAGCCCATGAGCCTCTTGGGAAATATTTGATCTAGATTTCATGCTTATTAAGTGTGAAATGATGATGATGGTGCTGAACACCAACAGAAAGGACTTAAAAACTCAGCTGCCACAGGAGTGTTCCCTTCAGGGAGTCCTGAACACAGAGCGAGAAGAACTGGGGATCCTTGGAGTTGGAAGTGTCTGGAGAAGCATCTCAGTTCACCCCATTCTCCAAGCAAACAGGTGTGCCCTGTCCCAGCTGCAGCCTCTGTGGGCACGCTTCTGGGAGAGGTGGCCCACCACAAGCTGGGCCACTCCCAGGGTTAGAATGTTCTTCCTGTGCAGAGCCGAAACCTTCCACCCAGGGTCCTGAGTCAGCCTCAGAGCACAATAGTGCACCCAGTCTGTCCCCGGTGTGACCACACTTCGAATAGTTGGAGTCCCCTCCAGGGACATTCTCCCTGCCCTCTCTCATCCTGGTCTCCTCTCTGGGATGCACTCCACTCGCCCATGTTTGCTTTGGGATCTGCATTCCTGCATGCCCAGTCTGTGGGCCAGGCCCAGGGAGGTGGAGGGTGGATTGCTGCTCCCTTGGATCTGGACGCTGAGGGTGCAGACGGTTTAACTTGCTGCACCTCTGTTCATGCCATTGGCTCAAACCGGCCTTGGATGAATTAGGCAAATCCTGTTGTTTTTTTCTAGTCTCTTCCATCCTTCACACGTAGCCAGCATTTAAAAAACTCAGGGCTTTACAAGGTTCCTGCTACCTCTGCAGGCATCTCTGGCTCCTTATCTCAGGCCTTCAAGATCCTGGTGACTCTGGCTCTTGAGCCTATGGTCACCTGGTATCGCACAGGAAGGAAGTGGCTGTCCCAACAGGCTCAGGTGCAGGAACATCAGGGTTAGCACAGAAGGGTGCAGTGGCTTTCTGCTCTGCGGGGCACCTCCTGTCCTTGCCTGCCAACCTCACTGGGTTACCCCTGGTGGGGCCTATTGGAAGCTGACTGCCCCTTCTCTCTTGCTGCTCATCACGTACCTTCTTGGCCAACTGGTCCCTGGTGCCCCATAGGCCCTTGGTCTCCTCGGAACCCTGGGATAGCAGACACACCGCCTCTTCCCTGCGGTCCAGCCTTCCCTGGAGCTCCTCGAAAACCTGCAAGATATTGAGTGAGTGTGACCGGAAACTGGCCACGCTAAGCATGGCTGGTGCTCATCCCAAGAGGGCAAAGCAAACAGGACAGACCTTTCCCCTGTCACCCGCAGGACCCAGTGCCTTACCTGGCTCTCCAGGAGGGCCTTGGGGCCCCATCTCCCCCTGTGCCCCAGGAGGACCTCTCCTTCCCTGGGGGCCCATCGTCCCAGGCTGGACAGAAATTGTCAGGGGGACTCCTGCAATCCCTGGGGATCCCATAGAACCAGGGGCACCTGTAGAGGAAAGAAAGGCCCAGTAAACACTCGAGAACAGCATCACTTCCCCGTCTGGAACCTGTCCTGGAAGCCCCGAGAACCATCTTGCATTCCAGAGAGGAGCTGGAGATCCCTCATCTGAGAGGCCACCCTGAGCCCCCCACCTAAATACTAAAGGCGTCTCCCACTGGGTCCCAGGAGCGTTCCAATCCTGCTCAGGTCAGCTCCCTGGGCGTCCATGTGGCCTGCTTGGCCTGAGCTGCCGTGCTCTGCAGGTGCCACTTACCAGGGAATCCCTGGTCTCCTTTGGGCCCCTTGGGGCCTCGGTCGCCCACAGCGCCGGTGGCTCCAGTGTTGCCCATGAATCCTGGTTCGCCCCTGGGGCCTGCAACACAAATAGACGTCAGACACACGTCCCTGGGGAAGAGGCTCCGGTCTCTGCCACGGTACTGGCTCCTCTGCCTGGGCACCATTACCTTTTTCTCCTGGGAGACCAAACACACCAGGCCGGCCCTGTGGGCCTGGGTCCCCGACCCAGCCTTTGTTCCCAGGGACTCCTGAAGCTCCTGGACTCCCATCATCTCCTTTGCTCCCAGGAAAGGCTGCAGGCCCAGGTGGCCCTGGTGGGCCTCGGTAGCCTGTGGGTGTTAGTTACAAGAGAGGAGAATTAAGCCCGACCCCAAGGAGTTTCTGCCACTGCCTCAGGGCTTTTTTGTTTATAATTATAAAATATATAGAGCACGGAGTTCTCATTTAGGACTGAACCCAGGGACGTGGTGCCACTGAGTTACATCCCAGTCCTTCTCGAGAGAACATCTAGGAGGCCGAGCCTGTCCTTGAACTTGCTATCCTCCTGCCTTAGCCTCCCATCACTGGGCTCATAGGTGTGTACACTGTGCCCAGCTCACGGTTCTGAGTCCACTGCAGGGTGCAAATCTGACCCTACAGCAAGTAATGGATGCACACTGTATCACTTAGTTCCCTGGGGACCGTGTTGTGCAGGATGGGAGGGATGCTCCTTTGGCCATGTCTGGTCAGTGTGCAGAGAAGGTCTATTGGGCCCAGGAGCGAGCTGGCACCAGCACCGCCCCAGGCACTTCCTCCCACCACATGAGGCCTACTTACCTTCTAGGCCAAATATGCCTGGTGCGCCTTTGTCACCTGGTGACCCAGAGATGTTGGAAGGGGGGGTGATACCAGGGAACCCCTGGAGTCCTGGACTCCCGGCTGGACCTCGCTCCCCTTAGGAGGAAAACAGAAGTTTCTTTTAGTGCCAGCAGCCAACATTCTAGCCCTACTGTTCTCCCTGCTCCTGTCTCCGGAGGGCCAGAGCTATGCCAGGTGAGGTAGTGACCCAGTGTCCTCCTGCCAGGGACGTCTCGAGGAGGAAGGGGCTATGGGACCCGTGGTCAGGAGGGCTGATCATCTGTCCCTCCAGCCCAGGTACTGAGGAGCCCGTCTGGGGCCCTGTCCTCACTGCCACGCTCCAGGGCCTGCAGGACTGCGTTCAGGAGGTCCCCAGGCTCTAACACTGACACTCCTGGGCAGCTCATTAGCACGGGGGAGAAGGTGAAGCAGGGCAGCATGTGGCCCGTGGGTCACAATAATGTTGCTAAGCCTCCTTCTGTCTGTCCTTCAGTGTCGGGCGCATGGAGCTTATCCTTCACCATAGAGAGGGGTCGACATGTACCCACACTGAAGAGCACGATCAGCCAGGGGACAGTGGAAGGGACGACTGGCCAAGAGGCACTGCGGCAGGAACTCCCCCGAGGACCGGCAAGTCCTGTTCTCTGCAGTGTCCCATCTCTGCTAGCTGCTGCCCCGTCCTGCCTCGTGGGCTCTGCTCGTGAAGATGGCAATGCGTGCTTGGACTGTGTGGCCTCACCTGGGGCTCCCTGCTCCCCTTTCCGTCCTGGGACTCCTGTGGGGCCTGGAAGGGTGTTGGCCTCTCCTGGGTCACCCCTGTCCCCAGTAGGTCCTGGGAATCCTGGTTCTCCGTGGATGTCAGCACCTGCGGTAGAATTAAAACAGCAGCCAATGGCCACGTTGTCCAGCAGTGCACAGGTGATTTTCCTAAGTAGGACAGTCAGTGCCACTCAAGTCAGGCAGCCACGGTGACCTCACTTTGCTCTGGTGTTACAGAATCTGAGATCTGGAAGGGGTCTCCAAGAGGACACTGGAGCCCCTCACCCTATAGATACGAAGACCAAGGCCCCCAGGGCCTGAATTCATGGACACAGTCAGCGGAGGAGCTGGGGTCTCACATCAGGCCTCCTGGCTGGAGGCTGTTCTCCATGCTATACCTTTGCTGGTTTTGAAAATTAAATACTGCTCAAAAATCTTCCCTGTCCACATATTGGTGCTCAAAGCAATCAGGGGCAGGAAACAGCAGTACCACTTGACAGGTTTCCCTTCATCTGCCCGTTGGAATTGAAATGGGCTACATGGAGCCTAGTGTGTGCATCTCATGACATTTGCAAATTCACCTGTGGACCGACTGGTTCCACAAAACCTCTGTAGAGAGCAGTCTTTACTCCTCATAGCAGCTGTGGAATTAGAGGTGATTTTTTTTCTTATTTTTCAAAATATTTTCCTCACTGAACTGGGATAAGTTTTCTAAATTGAAGTCACTAAATGGGCATGTGTGTCACAAAGTCCCTCCAATGCTGTGGGCTGTGCTGGGTACAGTGCCACATACCTGGGGACCCTGGGAAGCCTTTGGTGCCCGGCAGGCCGTGTAATCCGCTGATCCCTCGGATTCCCGGGAAGCCTGTGAGAAGTTGACACAGCGTTATTCACGCAAAGGAGGCTGCCAGGTGGTCTCTGGTGGCAGGAGCCCCTTGACAACGCCAGCACGTTCATCTGCTGTATTGCTGTCTGTCCCCACACAGGGCTGCCCATCCCTGACGAGCAGGGGGCAGTCAGCTGCAGGTGGCTTTCACCCGACAGGTACACGCACCACTCCTGCTGCCCAGGAAGCCCACTGTACTGTCTCTACAGACTGTTTCAGGAGTCCTCAGAGCTGAGAGGGGAAGCGTGGTGTCCTTTCCCTTCCTGATGTCTCATCTCTGGCGCATTAGGTCAGTAAGACACGTGCGCAGAGCCTGTCTGCCTTGCTGAGGACAGACACTTCTGGAGGAGGACGCAGCTCACAGGCAGCCACAGCGGCATGCTGTGCAGGGAAGCTGCGGCCAAGGTGCACCTTGGGACTGGCTGGGTCATTTGTAATTCCCAGTAAGCACAGAGCCAGGACAGCTAAGCCAGGGCCTTGTAACCCCAAGTGCCAGCTGGCCCCCGTGGGAAATGGGGAAGCCTGTGGCAGAACTTGGGGCCTCTTGTGCCCAAGCCTCTGTTGACTCTGTGCAGCTGGCGTGGGCCTGGGCCTCTCTGGAGGCTTCCGTCCGTGTCTCTGGGAAGTGAAGCCCCTCTTGGCAGTGTGTCTCTTTACCCACCGTCTGCTGTGCTCACAGCCTCCTGCAGAGGCTGGCCTGGCTGATGGCACTTCTCGCAGCCTGGCTACTTGGCTGAGTGCTGAGGGCACTGCGCACTTCTGTCAAGGAAGGACTCACCTGGTAAGCCTGGCACGCCAGGCCAGCCAGAGTCGCCTTTATCGCCGGGGACTCCGATCCGCCCTGGATCTCCCTGTGGCCCCCGCAGCCCTGTTAGCCCTGGGAAGCCTGGAGGGGGGAACAATCATTAAGTCTGAGCACACAGGAACCCCGGAAACCTGTGCGGTCCTGCCTGGAGGGGTGAGGCTCCCAGGGAAAGGCTGAGGACCTGTGGGGGCTGCAGCTCAAGCTACATGAGAGAGTGTAGGGACTGTCCTCCCATTGGGAATGATGTAGCACCAGACCTGGACCCTAAGTTCAGCAGGATGAGGTCAGCCTGGCCAAAGAGAAAATGGGGTGCATTTTTAATTCTCCTCCTATCATGCGGACAGAAGTCTGGAGAATCCTGGAGGCAGTGCCCGCAGAGCGCACGGAGGCTGGGGAAGCGCCAAGCGAAGGCAGCAGCCTCCGCAGCCCTGATGCCAGCTCTCCTTTGCTTTCCCTCACTCACGGGACCCTCAGGTGTGTGGCTGCACATTCAAACGCATGAAAAGCATCCTTTCAAATAGATCGGGCCGTCTGTACACAAGGGACAGAGGCTGGCTCAGAAACCCTTGTCATTCATCCTGTGTGGCTGCCTGTCACGGAGGGGGGCTCCCACAGCCCCAGTGCTCGACTCTCTCCAAGCCCTGGGTCCCCAGGCAGAGCCGGGTGAATGCGCAAGAACAAGTTTCCTGGCGACGAGTGAGATTGTGGTGGAGAAGGAAATGGCAAGGTGGCTGCTTTGTCCTGGGTCTTAGCCGTCACCTGCCTGGGGACTGTGACTGAAGGGGATTTTACCTGTTTGTCCTCTGGGTCCAGGAGGGCCTTGGGTTCCAGTCATGCCTGCTATCCCAGGGAAGCCAACTTCACCCTCTGCTCCCTTCTCTCCAAAGAACCCCTTCAGACCTGGAAACACAGATTTGCTGCTTGCTACATGCCTCGTCTGTTGAGTGAAAACAGGGCTCAGAGCTTGCTGCGCTTGGCTAGACCATGCTCTCGCCTCACACCGATTCTCCTGTTTGGACGTGCAGATAGATATATGGACCTGTTCCGGCCTCGACGTTTTCCTGATTCCTCCCTCTGAGAACGAGCCCGCCGTCCTCCAAGGTTGCACCCACCGGACCCTTCTGCTACCCAACACTGAATCGGGTCAAACTGTGCCCACTGGGCTACCGGGGAAGCGATGACCTCAAGCCTCGCACATGAGCTCCTCCGTGCCTTCACTTGGTCCTCACAGGGATCATTAGACCTGGAGGAAGTCGGCTGCGTGCTGTGGGCACTCAGGCAGCTCACAGCCTCTGGCAGGGAACACAGGCCTCCTGCCAAGGGCTCATGAGGGCACCAACTTGGAGAGGGATCTTCTGATGGTTGTGTCCCTGGCCAACGTCATAATCAGCAGCTCACGAGTGACTCCAAGTCAGAACCACCCTGCTCCCCCCTTCCTGACCTGAAGAACTGGAAGAGAAAATTACTGGTGTCTGAAGCTACTGCATTTGGGGTACTCTGCTGAGCAGCAGCAGGTAACCAACAGAGAGCTCTTAGGTGGTTCTGAAATCTCCTGGGGAACGTGCTCCACAGGCGGGTGGAGCTGCACCAGGGTGAGGAGTGGGTCTGGGGGCCTGGAGTCTGTCTGTAAAGCAGCATCTGGGGTGCTTCTGAGGTGGTCATGGGAGATGGGGACACACCCTCCCATGCGGGTGATGGTAAGTGCTGCACAGCTTGCCGGCTTCCAGGTAATGTGCAAGTCAGACCAACCTGAAGTCCACAGTCACCTGTGTTCTGTGCCTTCTTTAGCCTACGAGGCTGTTGGAACATTGTGATGCTTTTGTGGTTATGGAAAAGAACCATGTAAGAATTCTGCTTATTCTCTGTTGTGATTTTAGTGTTTTAAGAATCTGCTCCAACGGCCATCTTGCTAATGAACCTGCCCCCACAAACCACTTCTGCTGTCCCCACTCGAACTCAGAGGGTCTAGTGAGACTTGCTGCTCTGTCCTCAGAGAGCCCAGGCTGTGCCACGATCTGACCTGGGGTTCCATGTGTGTGACAAAGGTGGTCTTGCTTTCCTGCCTTTATGAGCAAAACTGCTGAAGTAATCATCTAGGACAGGAGAGTCAGCCCAGAGCCCAATGTCCCTGGACCTCTGTTACCCAGGGACAAGGCTGTCAGGACACCAAGTTATAGGCCAAGACGGAGGCCAGAAGGGTTGTCACGAGGTTGCCCATTCCTGTGTAGCAGGGCTCTGGTCCTGTCCCGGGCTGGACACTTCTCTCCATTCTGCTGCTGCACCCCCTAGGGTAGCACTACAGCAGGAATTTTAACTTAGAGGAGAGGCAAGAGCTGCCGTGGCACAGAGGCCCTCTAACACGTAGGGTACGTAGGGTATGTAGCTGCCTCCTGTCCTGCTCAGGAGACTTGTGCAACCCCCACCTCCCCGCTCCAGACCGCTCCCTGTACACTGGCAGCCCGGGTCATATGTCCCTTGTTTCTGCCCCGTGTGTCCCAGCAGTCCACACTTGTTCATGTTCTGTGGTCCCAGGCACTGGGTGCTAGTTCTGGTTATTTTCACTTTCAGAGGAAGATTGGGAGAGATTTCCTGAGCTTGTCTTCAGATTTCATTAAACCAAAAATCAGTCTTTCTTGCACAATGGGCTGGAAGACCTCAACCATTTTTCTATAAAGTTCCTGATAGTTCTCAGCAAATGTTGATGCTCTGAGAAAACCAGGCCCAGAGACCAGGCTCAGGACTGTTGGTGGATGTGAGAAAATGGAAAATAACTTGTGTACCTGGAGTTCCGGCGATGCCTCGTTCTCCCTTCAGGCCTGGACTTCCTGGTAAGTCTATGGTATCCCCAATATCACCTGTGAGATGCAGAGAAGGTGGTTAGGAGTGGATCTTCCTCCTGGGGGAGGTTAGCCCTTCACCTTCTATTGTGCTATGCCCCTAGCAAGATAATCTGCCTCTTCTTACCACAGCATCTGGGCTCTGTGACCACCCAGCATGCCTAGGAGCGCTGAACGGTGGATACCCCATTTCTTTCTTTTTGCTCTGGGGATTGAATCTAGGGCTGCCCCACTCCTGAGCTATATCCCAACCCTTTTATTTTTGAGACAAGGTCTCGCTGAGTTGCTCAGGCTGGTGTTGAACCTGTGATCCTTCCGCTTCAGCCTCCTGAGTCACTAGGATTACAGGCCTGTGCCACAGCACCTGGCTGGATGCCATTGTCACTGCACGAGCAATACTCACCAAAGTCCCCAGTAGGGCCAATCTCTCCGTAAAAGCCGGCTCTCCCAGGAGCACCTTTGTCACCCTAGGATAAAGTTAGGAAGGAAACTGGCTTAGAAGGCTGTGATTCAGGAGGGTGGAGGGGCCTAACTATTGTGTGTGCTAAAAGCAACACTCAAGGCTCATGATCACATTGTTTTGAAGAAACATCTAGAAGTTTTTCAGCCTTGGGCCTCCCAGTGTGTGGTGGCCTTGGGCCTGCCAGTGTGCGGTCTATTCCGCACTCATCCTAGGGGTGAGCAGGCGGGATTGGAGGCCAGAGCCCGCCCAGCTCAGGACACCCACTGTAACCATGGCAACAAGTGGCCACAGCAAGTGCTCCCAAGCCACCCATGGTGTGGAGGAGGAAATAGCCAGCAGGATGGGACTTGGGCTGCCCCTCCCACCGTGCCCCGGAATAGGCTCTCAGGCCTCTGATGTCACATGTGATCTCTGGAAATCCACACTTTGTTCTTTCAAGGCCCCTGTGAAAAAATGGGACGCCGTGTTTCATCCACCAGGAGCCCAGGACTCTGAAGCTGTGGCTCGAATACCCTTTCCCAGTGAGGCGGGAGAGGTTTTGGGTGCTGAGCAGCGGCATCACTCACCCGGCTTCCTGTGAACCCTGGGAATCCTGTAATTCCAGGGGGGCCGGTCACTCCAGGGAATCCTGGCAGACCTGGTACGCCAGGGACTCCGATGTCTCCTTTGGCTCCCTTGATGTGGCCGGGCCTTCCAGGCAGCCCTGGGATTCCTGCCAGCCCGGGGATCCCCGGCATCCCTTGGATTCCTGCAGGAGGACCCCAGTGTGTGACGCCCTGGTGAGGAGGCAGCGCCCACCCTCCCACGCCTGCAGACTGAAGCCCAGGTCAAGTCTGCAGAGATCAGGGGCAGCTCTGGAGAGGAGACGGGCAGGAGCAGGGCTCGCGGGGCCTCACCTTTCACGCCCAGGTACCCCTTCAGGCCCATGGGCCCTTCATCGCCCTTCTCCCCTTTGATGTCCTTCATCCCTGGCAGGATGATGGGAGGTGGTCCTGGGGGACCAGGGTCTCCACGGCTGCCTGGAAGGGAACAGAACACCACGGCTTCTTGTAACTCCCGAACCATGTGTGACAAAGGTGCCACCTGCCTCCAGAGCTCCAGTCCTGAGGGACCCTTGCCACATGTCCCCAGACCAGGGAGTTCAGAGAAAGACCAAGGGCAGGGGGGATGGAAAGTGCCCCCCGTCCCGCCTCCCTGCTCTTTCACTGGAGCAGAGGGTGTGGGGACCCCGCCGTGGGGACCCAGCTCCTTGGCCCTGAGGGCTGTGACTGAGCAGAGGCCACCATGGATGGAGGCTCTGCTCCCCCCAGCAGTGCCCAGGAGCCGCGGGCCGAGCAGGAGGAGTGAGTGCTCAGCCAGGGCAGCCCCAGTGTGGCCTGAGAGCACAGCCAGGCTGACCTCAGCAGGAGGCCCACACAGGGAAGGAGGCTGCCCAGGCCTCCTGTAGGCCCCAGCTGGTCTGCGCCTGCAGAGCCTCAGGACCAAGGGCCACCAGAGCTGGGAATGTGACAGCGGTTCCTGTGTGGGATGTGACCAGGGAGCTCTGGGGAGCCCTTGAGGGCAGGGGAGGAAGGGCCGGGCGAGGGCTCCCCAGCTCTCCTCCTCCCAGGAGAGGGCAGCTGGTAAGTGAATCTGACCAAATGGAAGGAATGGGTCCCTTCTTTTAACATTTATCAAGTGTAAATAGCTAGAGGTTGAGGGGCCAAACAACGCAATCCTGCCCTCGGGGCGTGGTGGTGCACCACAGGGACAGACAGGCGAGAGGGACGACCCGGCAGGCTCAGGAGCACCAGAGAGCTCGGAGGAAGCGGTGGGGAGCCTGGGGCCTCCACGTTTCTAGTTAGATCCTATTGATGAATAACCCTATAGCTCACAATCCTCCTTGAAAGAGATAATGAAGTGCTTCAGTGAATTCTGGGGCTGTGCAGCCATGAGACCATCTAACCCCAGAACGTTTTCATCACAGAAAATGAAGCCCGTAGCCATCAGCAGCCAGTCCCCAGTTCTGCGGGGTCCCCCAGCCACAGGCCATCACTCACGGGCCCCTCCTCTCTAAGTCGGCCTCTCCTGGGGCCTGCTGAGGATGGAATCCCGAGGCCGCACATGTGGGGCTTGCTTCACTGCTGCCCATTCATCAGTGGGCGGCACTTGGGTGGCTTCTGTGTTGGCTGTCACAGTGGCCAATGACCATAGCTGTGGACACTGTGCAAAGCCGTGCCTGGACCTGTGTTTCCAGTTACTGCACCTGGAGAGCCTCTGGGTCACCATGCTTGACCTTTTAGTGCACTGTCCACCGTGTCCTCACTGTCCCCACTGTGTCCTCACTGTCCCCACTGGGTCCTCACTGTCCTCACTGTCCCCACCGTGTCCTCACTGTCCCCACTGGGTCCTCACTGTCCTCACTGTGCCTACTGTGGCATCACTGTCCCTGCTGGGTCCCCACTGTCTCTGCTGTGTTCCCACTGTCCCCAGTGTGTCCTCACTGTCCCCAGTGTGTCCTCACTGTTCCCACTGTGTCCTCACTGTCCCCAGTGTGTCCTCACTGTTCCCACTATGTCCTCAGTGTCCCCACTGTGTCCCCACTGTCCCCACTGTGTCCCCACTGGTTGCCACCTCTTACTCCCACAGGAGCACCCGAGGCCTGGTCTCTGCACACACTCACCAGCACTGGTTCTTGGTGATTAAGTTTTTAGAGAACAGAAATCATGAGGATGTGGCTTTCTATCCTGAGCCCCGTGGACAGGGAGCCTCCACTGGGGCCCTGTGATGCCTGTCCAGTGGCTCTGGGGCCCAGCACTCTGCTCCTGTTCTGCGCTCTGGCCTTGTGGACCGTGCCTGGCCCTCCCTCCCCAGCTCTCCCTCCCCCCCTTGCCCTCCCTCCCTGGACTCGCTACAGCAAGATTGTGGTGCAGTGTTCATGGCAGTTTTTGTCCTCGATGCCGCTGTCACTTTGGTTTTCGACATTGTCCTTGGGTCAGGTTTGTCCCTGACACTCTCTCAGTTTGGCTCATTTGGTTTGATTATTTTCAGCTTCTAGCACCAGGGTTCCTGAAGGTGGAGGGACACTGCTGTGAAGGTGAGCCCCCACCTCCTGGGGCGGGGCTCAGGGGCATACCTTTCACACCAGGCTCTCCAGCCAGGCCCTTCAGACCAGGCACTCCAAAAAATCCTGCCTCTCCTTTGGTTCCTGGGAACCCAGATCTTCCTTTGAGCCCCACCATGCCTTGGAAGCCGTGCATCCCAGGAGAACCTCTCTCCCCTGCGGAGGGAAAGGGAGAAGTGGTGAGTGGAAGGGAGGACCAAGCGATGGCTCACGTCGCTCACTGTCCCTCACGGCAGAGGTGCAGTTCACCTGGGAAGACGCTAAGACCTGAACCCCGAGCGGAGTCTCTGGGGATTCTCTAAAACTCTTGTCTGCTGGGCCGGTGCAAACCCAGGGCCATGGCCCACCCGTCAGCAGCAGAACATTGTGGACAACAGAAAGGCAGCTCTGTAGGTCAGTGGGGAGGCCTGAGGTCAGCCTGTGGGCAGCCCAGGGCAGGGCCTCACACAGAACGAGAAAGGGCTCTGGACATGAACATGGCCTCAGCCCTGCTCCCTGCAGGAGGTCTGCAAAGCACCACGGGAAGCAACCGCCACATGCGGAGGCTCGGCTTGTGTTTGCCCTGGGTGCCTGCAGAGCTAGTGACCCCAGTAAGCCAGTTGCATAAAAGCACCAGAGGGCCTCCAGGCTGAGCCCAGTTCCAGTGGGCCTCTGTGGGCCTCTGCCGCTGTCCCTGGTTGATGATGATCCTGCCTCCTTTCTTAGAAGTCAATAAACATTCTGAGGCACACTGGTCCCACCCCACCTACGTGATGTCAGCCTGTTTCTTCAAGATCCCAGGGTCTCAGACCTGCAGGTGTGTGAGGCCAGCCTCCTGCAGGGTGAGGCAAGTGCGTGGGACAGCTGCCTCAACTCAGGGTGCAGGTGGCCTCATATTCCTGCAAGGTGACACCCGGCCCATGTACCTTTTTGCCCAGGGATACCAGGCATTCCAGCCATTCCTTTAAACCCAGGGGTTCCTGGGTGGCCTCGCTCGCCTGAGAAGCCAGCATCTCCTCTATCTCCAGAGAGACCTTTCATGCCCACAGGGCCAGGGACGCCTGTGTCACCAGGGTCCCCCCTATCTCCAGGAAGTCCTGTCAAGAAGAGAAAAAGCAAAATTAAAGAGACATAGAGAAAACTTCTCTGATGCATTCAAGGCAGAAATCACAAACATTTTTCTAAAAAAACCTCTTGGTAGGAAAGTAGGAAACAGGTTTTCAAAGCGGAAGGAGCCTGTGGAAATCCCCCCAGGGCAGGACTTCCGTGGGAGGAGCCCCCTGTGGCTCTCCCCTGCAAGCTGGAGCTGCGTTAGGTGTGAGGGGCACTGCCAGCTAGCTCATCAAGGACATGGCTGCTGGGCTCAGTCAGGAGCCTGCCTATCCCGAGTTCCAGGAACAGGACCCTGCCTGACTGCTACTGCCCTCCCTGTCTCCCTGCTCCACCGGCACCTTCAGCGAGGCAACCTCAACAGCTCCAGCCGGCTGCTGTCCCTGTCCTGTCCTACACCCAGCCCACCTCCAGCTGCCTGCAGCCTCCTGAGCCCCTTTCTCCTTCTCTGCCAAGACCCGCCTGTGGCTCCTTGGCCCGTGGCTCCCTTGGCCCGTGGCTCCTTGGCCTGTGGCTCCCTTGGCCTGTGGCTCCCTTGCCTGTGGCTCCCTTGCCTGTGCTCTTTGGCCTGTAGCTCAGCCACCTTCAATGCCTGTCCTGCTCTGGCCTTGCCTCTCTGTCCAGACCTCCGCTCCCGCCCTTGGTTCAATCCTGCACTTGGACCCTTCCTTGGGCACTCCTGCCTCTGCTGGGCTGTCCCCTTCCCTAGGAAGTGCCCCTCCCTGTCCAGTCCTGTCAGTTCCCTGCCTCCTCTGAACACAGGGTTGGTCTCTGCCGCACCCTGGCCAAACACAAGCCCAGTCCTGTATGGACTCTGCAGTGGAGTGGAATGTGAGAGGGGACGGGCAGGTGCCTTCGGAGAGGGACTTGTATCTACTGCTCATGGATCTTCAGGGACACGTGCAGGAGCTGAGAACTGGCAAGGCCTCGTGAACACTGACATAGGACCCAAAGCCTCCTGCCCAGCATGTGTGTCCTGAAACCCGGCCAGTACAGCAGCAGGGCGCTGGCCTCACCCCAGCGCCTATTTCCTATTTCCAGCCCGTTTTGGAAATAGGTGCATCCATGTGCAAGGAGCACCTAGTTTACACATGGTTTGTGTGTGCCCAGCGTGTCCCCCATGCAGACCGTGAAGGTCCTCCACAGAGCTGTCACCTGAATAAGGCAATCCAGACAATCACAAGCAAGACGGGGGTTAAGAAGCTTAATGTGTTCTTGTATGGAGTGCTGGTGTTACGGTGTCCTTTGGCAAAATGATGGTGACTGTCTGGAAAACTTTTATAAAAAATAAAACGTGTCCTTACTGGGCAGCACCAACAATGAGGGAGCCAGGCACGGGGTGGCGGCACAAGCTGCAGTCACAGAGCCCGGGGCTGAGGCAGGAGAGCCCTTGGGCCAGGAGCTCTGCTTGGGCAACGGAGTAAAGTTTGGAACATTCACTGGTCCCTGAAATGGGGATGCCTGGGATGGACCAGCACCATGCTCTCTCAGTGGGCAGCGCTTTGGCCCCTCACCTCCTCTGTGCCTCCTGTGGTTTCTCCTCAGCACTGGTTTTGAATTTTATTCTTTTCCTATTGAAAACTTACCTGGATCTCTGACATGCACAACAGGTACGAAGGGTGAGCTGGTTTCTCTGGCTGCTCGAATTCTCTTTGGTGAAATACACACCCTATTTTTAGAACCTTCTGTACTTAGGGGTTCCTTGGAACACAGTTTGAGGATCCTTCAGGGGACGTCATTACTAGTCTAGTTGTTGGTATGGTGAGGACCCACCCCTTTCTGGGGCTGTTGGAGCCTTACCTCCGAGGCCTGGGGCACCTGGCCGACCCAAGGGCCCCTCTGGGCCAGGAGCTCCTGGGAATCCATGTTGTCCTGGAGGCCCGGGCCGTCCTGGCTGGCCCGAAGGTCCCGGGAAGCCCAGCTGACCCTTCAGCCCTGGCATTCCGGGCATCCCCTGGCTTCCTGCAGGAATCAGAGGCAAAGCTGTGAGGCCCATCCTGAGATCAGACACCTGCCTCCTCAGACTCAGTCTACGGAAATGACAGTGACTTGTTTCTGGGCCGCGGAAAACCTGGCAAACACGGGAGGTAGAAAGGACGGCTCCAAAGGAGCGCATGCCATCACCCAGGATGGCTGTGTGTGTGCAGACACATGCATGTGTGTGCATGTGCTCGTGAGTCGTTGCACGTGAACATGTGTGCATGGCATGTGTACGGGCACACACATAGCCATCCTGTGTGGTGACATAGGCATGAGCAGGCTGTTCAAGGTGCCGTGTGTGCACTCCAGCCACCTCAGGGGCACCATGGCCGGGAGCTGGAGTCTTCCTAGTCGGTATCAACATCTGTAGCAGCTGGTCACTCTTGCTGAAATCAACACCCACTTGCCATGTGCCCCACACTTGAGGCTTTGCTAGGACACTGACAAGCCCAACCCCAAACTGCGTAACCACACCATGTTCCAGAGCTCTGGGAGCTCCCTGTGGGCAGAACCAGGCTCCACTCTGCCTGAAAGTCCTGGTAAGGGTGTCCAGCAGGGCAGCTGCAGAGCCAGAGGATGGACACTGCTTCTGCACCTCCAGCCAGGTGTCAGTGCTGCCCACACATGAGTGGTTGACCCACACAGGAGGTCTGGACTGGGAACACCGGGTGGTGGATACCCACCATCTCCAGGTGGGTTCTGCTGAGGTGAAGACTTGCTACTCAGATGCTCTCTGTGATTAAAGCTGGAGGCGTGAGGCTCTCAGGGCCAGCTTTACACAGACTGGATTCTCGAGGCCATCTGATGCCTGTTCATGCCCCAGACAGTGCCATCTTTCTACACTGCTCCCCCCACACTGGTGACACTGTGAACCTCATGAAGACATTCTAAGTCTGTATCCATTTTCACATCCACCACCCAATCAAACTGCATTGCAAATCATTCCTATCTAGTGCCTAAGCCCCCCTAGGCCTGCCCGTCCTTCGTACCACTGGGTGAGTCTGCTGGGAAAACCAGTGAGCCCTGCAGGTGAGCCCCATGCAACTGTGGGTCCGCAGCTGTGAAAGGTCTGCAGGGCTACGGCAGGCTTGTGACTGACATGGACACACTGCAGGCATGCATGCTGGGGCGAAGTGGAGAAGACAAAGCAAGACCAGGCACACACAGTGTGGGTGCTTCTCACCAAAGCCCCCAGGAAGGATTTCAGACTCAGCTTGGCAGCCACAGTGCAGCTGGCACAGGGTCCCTCCACTGTAACATGCCCCTGTCACATGACTCACCTCTGAATCCAGGGGGGCCTCTCTCTCCTGGAAGACCTTTCAACCCCGGGTGTCCAGGTAGTCCAGCATCTCCCCGGGGCCCAGGCTGGGCCCCTAGAACTTCTCCTGGCAGTCCCCTCTCCCCAGGGGGTCCAGCTGGTCCAGGCAGGCCCACAGGGCCTGGGAGTCCATCTGGGCCAGGGAGGCCCACAGCACCTTTGGATCCTCGAGGTCCCATGAACCCTAGAAGGAAACGGGGGTCCGTTAGTCACAGGCCAGCATCGTCACATTCTGGTGCAGTGTGGAAAGAGGTTGGACAGCCAGGCTTGGCAAGTGGCCGGGCAGTGTCCCCGTGGCTCCGGGCCTGGCCCTGCTGCCTGTCCTGGTGTCTGCACTTCTCCCAACATCTGTCCACTAAATCTCTTCTGCTTTCCTCCACCATCGGGTCCCAGCCCTACGATTCAACCAGCGGGGACAAGGCTGTGACCAGCTGCTCCCTGGACGTGCCTCTTCATGGCTCATGGGCTCCCATACATCCAGGTTGCACGCAGGCCAGGAGTGCAGTGGTGTGACGGACACTCCCAGGGGATGGGAACACCCGGAGCCATTCGCCTTCCCTTCCCTCTGGTCTGCCCCAGACCCCTGTCCACTTCAGGGCTCCCAGTCCTGGATGGGACTGTCTTCCTACCCATAATGTCAGTGCCCTAATCGTACACATGCAAGCACTTCCCCAAATTTAAGGGGCTGACTTACCTGGGGGTCCTGGGAACCCTTCCCGGCCTGGGTCTCCAGGAAAGCCCTTGAGCCCTGGTGTTCCATCAGCTCCTAAGAAGCCCGGGATCCCTCTGAGGCCTTTGGTGCCTAAACATCGAGATAAACCATGTCAGGTCCACAAGGATAATTGGGGTGTGACTGCTTGGCACCTGGCCTAATGAGGTCATTCTGAAGCTGGGAAATATTGAGGTGTGGGTCTGTCAGACCCACCCTGCACCTCGGGGCTTACACAAGGACTCTCCCTGGGTGCCTACCCAGGCCACCGGGCCACAGCCGAGGCCGGGTTCCTCCCTGTGGCAGGAGTTTCTGCTCGTCCATCACCACACATTTCTCACTGCATGCATAAGAGCTGGCTTCCCAGGGAAGCGCCCACGGTTGGCGGTGGTCTCAGCAAGGTGGCACCTGCCATGTCCCGGGAGGGAGCACGCAGGGGCAGAGGGGACCAAGAGGGGGAGAGAAAATGGAGGATGGGAGACTGGTGTGTTCTCTGGCTTCCTGCGTAGGTTACCTGGGGGTCCTGGGGGTCCTGGCCGGCCAGGCAGTCCTTTGGGGCCTCTGACACAACCTGGGGAGACAGGAGGGAGGAAGTGAGGCATTGTCCATGCCAGGCCTTGGGGTCTTGGGGACCAGCAGGGTCAACAGTGGCCAGACGATCGGGCTACCATTTTGTAAGCAATTCAGCGATTTAATTAATCTTGGTTCTGATGTAAGTAGAAGTTCAATCTCATTGTGTAATAATACCTGAATATTCACATAGGGTGCAAATTAAGTCAGACTGCTCAAATAGAAACTGTGCTGCGCTGCCAGAGACGCCCCTCTGTGGGCAGCAGCCTCAGCCCAGGCCAGGTCATCGTGGCCCTGGCCGGTCAATGCAGACGCCTCTCTCGCCTGAAAATGTCTCTCAGCAGGTGGAGAGAGCTTGTGACTTTAAAAGGGATCCTTGGGCTTCTCCTTTGTGACTCTGAACAGCTTCCGAATGAACCCAGCAGGTAGCTGCTCTGAGCAGTAAAGCCCGGCCAAGGCTGCGGTGCTGTGGCTGGCGCTGCCCGGGGAGGTGACGTTTCAGGAGGTGTTTTGTCGGGCGTCCTTTGCCGAGAAAGCTGTCCTGTTGTTGGGACCTCTTTGGCCCATTTCCCTGAGAGTGTGGACCAGGGCCCCATGTGTCCTGCCTGAATGGCCAGCATGTGCCAAGGACATTAGCCCCCTCTGCCTCGGTCTCTGGGTGGCATCCGTGTTCTTGGCCACCTTGGAACAGCGGGTCCTTTCCTATGAGAGGCTCCGCACACGTCTCATCCTCATCACTGATGTCACGGTCATCGTTGGCAAACCGCTCTGCCAGTGCTGGGGAAACCCAGGGGGTTCTTTCACCCCAGACTGTGGCTTAACATCCGGAATATTCTGGGAGGTACAGCCAGTGGCTTCTTCACCAGGCACAGGGCTACAGCCACACTGCTCTTGGGTGCCTGGGGAATGTCACCGTCTCTGATCTTTGCTTCACTGATATCAGCTTGGACATATCTCGGATCTTGGCACAGCCCAGAATCACTGTACACTGAAGCCTGGGGCTCTGGGAACACCCCCAGATCACGAATGCATTACTGTCCACGGCTCCCTGGCCTCTACTCCTACTGAGTCATGATCTGGCTGATGCCTCGAAGCCTTGGCCCCTCCCCAGTCTCCCAGCATCAGCTTGGGGCTCGCTCTCTGCTTGACCAAGGCACCCTGTGAGACAGCTCGGGTTATGACCAGTAGTGACTTCCTGCAGGGCTGCATCCTCTGAGGTCTCTTCACCTGTTTCCACGGTCCCTGAGTGCAGAGTGCTCCAAAGCTCCGTGCTCCTGGCTTGCCGGAGGGCTTCCTGTACTTCCACTGTTGGTCTGTGTGTCTGGCCCAGATCCCTCCTGAGTTGGTGGTGGAAGCCATCCCCTACCTGGCACACACCTTCTCCCTCCTCTGTGACTGCAGTGGCAGGTCCCAGCTTCTGGGTGAGGAGCCGCTCTGTGACCTTGATGCTCCCCCCGCCCCGGCCCCACCCCACTGCAGAATGGAGCACAGTGGCTAGCTCAGGATCCTGATGGAGGAGCCTGGAGCTTCAGGGGGGCCTGGGCCCCTGCCTACGACTCTCAGGCTTGGAATGGCCCTTTAGGTGACCGGCTGGTTCTGAGACCTGTGCAGGTGCCATCCCTGCTGTGCAGGCACCGGCAGCTGACCCGGGCTGTCCAGCCCCTGTCTTCAGGGTCAGACCTTCACCTTCACCTTCACCTTCACCTTGAGAACGGCTCCTCTAGCTGCAATCCTCATCCTCCCCGTCCTGGGGATCCTGCCTGGCCTGGTGCTCCACGTGTGTCTTTGACTTTTCCTTCTTTCTCCCCAGCTTCTGCTCAGTGTCCAAGTCTACCTGCAGTGACTCCCTGTCCCCAGATGTTGGCTGGGGCCATCCCTCGAGCTGCCTGCCTGCCAGCCTTGTTCTCCCTAGCACCTGTCCATTGCTAGGCCGGATTCTTCCCTCGCTCTTCACTCTAGACAACAAGCCAGCCATCCACAGATGTCCTTCATGGCCACGCAGAGAGGTGGACAGGTGCAGATCTCAAGTGTGAGCACCTCTGTGGTGTTCCTTCACACGGAGTGGATGTGGTGCACTTGCCACTCGTGGGTACACCATGGGTCAGCCTTGAGGTACTTGCCTGTCCTGAGCTGAAGCAGATGGGCCCCAGCTTTGCACACACCACTGTTCCCGCCCACCCACGCTGCAGGAGCCCAGCAAGCCCTCCTCAGCGCGTCACGTGTCTCGTCAGCCAAAAGTCTTATAGCCATCTAGAGCCACCTGCTCCCCTCTACTGTACCTGGCTGCAAGGTCTCTTGTCTGTCACCTCCAATGGGCCTTTTGACATCTGTGTCACAATCTGCAAGACACAAGGAGAGAGTCAGGCCATCCTGGAACCACTGAAAGGTGCTGGCTTACCACGGGGGTGTGCGTGCGTGAATGTGTGCGAGCCCTGTTGGGGAGTTAGAGTGTGGGCCCCAGAATCAGAAGGCCAACTTCTGAACTTGAGTGCCCAAGAGGGGAAGATCCACATTTTGACTGCTGAGAAGAGCAGGGGGTGGGTGGGAAAGACCCCGGTGGTGACGATGCATCAGCCAAGAATAGACGTGGCTGCGTGACGCCCTTGCCTGGCTCCTGGGGGGGGTGCAGGTTGGTGCAGAGGGAGTGGGAGCTCTCACTGATATCTGAGACTCAGAAAGCAAACAAAGGGCTCCCCCTTACCTGGCTGTCCTGGGGTTCCCGGGGGCCCAGGAGGACCGGGGAAGCCTGGCGGTCCAGGTAGCCCAGCGTCTCCAGGGAATCCACGCTCGCCCTTAGGGCCTGGTAAGCCCAGTCCTGGGGGGCCCATTTCTCCTGGAATACCCTTGGTTCCAGGTATGCCTGGGTGACCTGCGTCCCCTGGGGGACCTTGGATGCCATCCCCCTGTGAGAAAACAAATACACATCATAGACAGCCACCACTTCCCGGGTTCCTGTCCCATGTCCCTGGAGTCCTGTGCCATGGATACAGAGCAGAAAGGCCACAGAGATGAACAGGACCTGCTGTCAATGGCCCCACCAAGTCACAAGGACCAGGGTCAGGCTTCATGACACAGGAGCCACAGGACAGAGGCAGCTGCTGAGTCACACCTACGTCCCACACTCATTTCCCACTCCCAGCTGCTGTATCTTGCACCGAACGGACGTCACCAGAAAGTCCTGTGTGAGCACAGGGGGGCCAGGGGGAGACACATGGGCAGGGACAGGTTACTGGCTTGTTACGATTGGCATTTGCCATCTACGGTATACAGGGACAGCGCGTCATTAAAGGAGAGGAAGCTAAATTAGATGAGAGAAAGCTAGAAATAAGGGGAGGCTACAGGATTGGAAAAGATGGCTAAGTCACAGGATGGGACACTCCCCAGGGGTGTCCTAAGCCGACAACACAGGGTGGGTGGGGCACTGGGTGGGGCAGTGAGCTCTGGGCGATTCGGAGGAGCTGGCTGGGGGAATAGTCCCAGCTTCCCCACAGAGCCAGGGGGTGGAAGAGGGGCCTTTTGATGACAGTGAGGCCCAGGAGGTAAGAAATCTCACTGCTGTTCTCGAAATCACTTTCTCTGCCAGGTTTAAGGTCTGCAGGTGCGCGGAAGGGCCCTGTGCAGCCCCTCCTCAAAGCACACCAGTGCTAATGTGGGGGGACTTGATGGCAGGGCTCCTGCGGAGATCATGGCAGATGAGGCTCAGGCACCAGGGACTCCCACCAGCAGGTGCTCCTGTCCTTAGCTCAGTGGTCCAGGGAGCAGGGAAGCCCATGAGCACCGACAGAGGCCACCCTCCCCAGGGAACCAGCAGCTGGGCTCTGAGGGCTTCTCTCAGAGACCTGCTCCGGGAACACAGCAGGGAAGGCTGTCCCTGTCACGGGTCCTTGGTGCCTTGGAGCTGGCTGGACCCTCACAGTCAGGGTCGTGTCCCCTGCAGAACACAGTTCCACAAGCCACTAACCCAGGCCACTGTCACTGAGACAAATCCACACGCACACCACAGGGCGCCGGTGCCCCTCACCCACCCCCAGCTCTGCCTCCCATCTCACTCCTTCTGTCTTCCAGACAGGACTCGCTGAAACACCGTCACAGAGTCACCCATGCCACCTGGCCCAGGACGACCGCACCAAGCATAACAGGTACAGCAGACCTGGCCGTGCTGAGGACAGGTAGGCCTGGGCTGCAGACCAGGCAGAGGGGCTGCCCACAGTCGGGTTGCAAAGCCAGGAGGGAGGAGGCATATGCATTCCCTGCACCGTGAAGGGGATCGTGCTTAGGAGCAGGTCACACAGAGGATCCAAGGACGACAAGGGCTTCGTGGGAGGACTGCTCTCCCTAGCCCAGGGACCTCTGTCACAGGGACCAACGCACACAGGCAGGTCGAGAAGGCAGCTGTCCACCAGACGAGGAAGGACGGAGGCGCCTCCAGTCTTCCCTCCTACACCAGAAGGAGCCTGCACACCTGGCTCCCAGCCACCACCCTGAGCTGGGGTCACCTCTGCTGAATGAGCCGCCCAGTCAGAGGAGCTGTGTTAGGCAGCCCCAGGACACCAAAACCAAGAGCTTAAGGAGGCTTGCTGGCCACAGGGAGAACGGAATCTAGGAAAGAACAAGAGGCAGGAAATGACAGTGCAGAATCACAGGAGGAGAGAACCAGGTCTGTTACAGGGGACAGGCAGGGGTGACGGCCATGCCCCATCTCCCTGACTGCCCAGGAGAGGAGACAGGGTCTCTAGGGATCAAACATCTCCTCTTTCGGTGTTTGTCTCAAACCCCAAATTGTCTATTTCACTATTTATTCTCCAAAAATAGGACTCCACCCCTCACTCAAGAACATTCTATTTCTTTTCTCCTTCTATATTATGCCTTGAGGAATATTTACTTACTCTGTGACTTTAAATGTTCACTCTGGATCTGGCTGCTAACTTATCCTGCCATTTCCTAACAGATACGATTTGTGTTCATTAAAACAGATTGTGCCAGCCTTCGCACTGGGTCAGGTTAGTGAACACCTACACCATTTGCTTCTCGGCTGTCGGGAGGACACAAGCATCAGGACGAGCTGCCCAGCCTGCCCTGCCACTGCGGCTACTCACAGGAGGGCCTGGGAGGCCCGGGAATCCATCGAGTCCGTCGCGCCCAGGGACACCGTCGTCGCCTTTTATTCCATGCACACCTGGGACGCCGGGCTGTCCTCTCTCACCTGGGAAGGAATTCACAAGTGAATCTCCTGATGCATCCACTGGAGAGCCAAGTGGCCCAGGCCGCCCGGCCACAGGAACTGACCTTTAGTGGTTATTGTTCTGGAATCCCCTTTGATTCCCTTGGGCCCAGGAGCACCGACGACACCAGAGACCCCCTGTGGAGACAAAGGGACAAGCGGTTCTCCCTTTAGGCTGCTGGGACACCTACGGAGAGAATGCTGAGTAGCTCACACAACCCACGGGCGGTCGCCTGTCCCCAAGCCCAGTGCTGCTCAGAGAAGCCCTCAAATGCCAGAAATGCTCTGTGGGCTGTCTGGCAAGTGACCACCTGCCACAGTGCCCATCAGGCCCTGTCACTGTGGACAGTAGGACTGAGGAATTGAATTCAGATATTTTTAAAAATTTTAATTAAAATGTAATGGAAGTGCCCCAGGTAGTTGGACGGTGGGAACCTAGAGTCTCGCTACTCAGGGTGCCATCCCCAGACCAGTGTGCTCAGCATCTCTGGTGAGAGATACGGATGCTTAGCCCCACCTCCCTGAGGCAGCCAGAGCGTGATCTGCTTCTTAAAAAGGTCCCTGGGATTCCTGGACCCAGTGCTTTGAGAAGCGCTGACCTAAAACAGGAGGCTGCCGAACTCTTACCTACAGGTTTGGATCCCGGCAGGTTATGAACCTCTAAGTACAATGCTTAGAAACTCGGATCATTTACCATTGAGAGCAATCAATGTGTTTGATTCATGGTTTCTTTTGCAAAATGAAGTTTAGGTTGAGGGAAAAATCGGGCTGAGACAGAAGTTGGTTGCAGGGACACTCGAGTTCAGGTCGTAAGATCTCAGGCGGCTTTTTCAATGGGCAGAAGTGAGCAGGCCAAGAGTCTTGGGGATTGTATTTTCAAGTGTGTTATGTTAGTTTTAGGGCACATCTCAGTCGATGCTATTTCCAGGAATTTAGGACCTCTGCACTGAGTGGAGAGTGGCCACACAGCTGCTAGAGCAGAATGAGTGTTGGCTTAAAGAAATAGTTACAAGACACTGAGGGCTCCTTTCTCCTGGCAAAGTCCACAGATGCTAGATTTATTGATGACTTGGCTCTCTGCAGAAGAGGGCAACATTCTTCCAGCATCCAGGACAGCGTCCCACACAGTAAATAAATACGTTGTGTGTTCAATAAATACGTTGTGTCAATGGACAGGAGGAAGAATGTATTGACTGGCCTACTCCTAAGCCTCAAGGCCTCTGCCAGACTCTGTCAGTACAAGTGTCAAAAACAAACCATAATTACAAGAACTCATCTCAGCCATCCCACTGCAGGGGGCTGCTGAACCTGAGCATATGACCAAACGCAAGACAACGGGCACCACAGGAACATGCTCTTTGTGCTCAGCACGGCCTTTCCCAGGCCTGTCCACACTGCAGCACGAATCAGTGGTGGTCCTGATCTACAGCGGATCCGATTCCTTTGTATGGAGAGCCCAAGTTTGGTTCGCCTGTTCACGGGAGGAGGGACAGGTTGTTGTCTCTATGTTTTGACTCGTATGAGTAATGTCCCTGTGCACACTGGTGCACACATATTTTCATGGACGTGGGTGTTGGATTCATTTGGGTTTCTCTTGGGAGTGAATTTCTGGCCTTGGTGGTGACCCCTGTCTAACTTTTGAGGTGTGAGACCATCTTCCACAGTGGCTGTAGCAGGTCACACTCCCAGTGGTAAAAGCTTTTGAGGTTCACCTTGGACGTGTGGCTTTTTGGAAGGTGTGTGCATGCGCTGGGGACCGAGTGTTGGTCTACAGTGTGTTAGATGAACTGGGCATGCCTCAGGTTCTCCTTAGCTCCTGGTCACCAGGATGCCCAGTTTCCTCACCTTGAACCCTGGGAACCCAGGGATGCCGTGCTGTCCGGGGTCTCCTTGGTCCCCTTTCTTCCCTGGTTCCCCATTGATACCCGAGAAACCTTTGGGTCCTGGCAGTCCTGGAAGACCCCTGATGAACTGGTCACTTTCTGCACATTTACAGTCCCCAGCGTCACCTGCAGTGGTGGAGGGAGGGCACGTGTGTTAAACATTCAGCTTGAAAGTGCAGAGAGAAAAAGGTGGGTGGGTAGGGCTGGCCAAGAGGAGGCCACACAGGCTGGACGCTGCCCAGTGCTTTGCGAACATTATCTGTCCTGGTGGTGATTACCAAACCCACTTCTTGGCTAACCAGTGTGGGGCCAATTTTAAGTCACTCAAGGGTTCAGTCTTCAGGTTCAGAATTCTGCTTTGTTGTTTACTGGAAATACTTAAAAACCAGGGCCCTTTACAGAGGAACAGACAGAGCTGAGGGGACTACAAAGGATGTCGAGGAATCTGGAATCCAGAGCCCACAGCCAGAGATGGCCATCACAGTGGCTCCAGAGGTCAGGTGGAGGCCAAGGTCATGGGTGAGCAGAGAAGAAATACCCGACCCTTCTTCTGCCTTGTCCTGATGAGACGCAGAGGCCAGGTGGCAGTGAGCACTGTGCCAGCCATGGGGTTGGCTCCCTGGCACGGATCATGTACAGAGGGGCAGGCTGTAGCATCGGCAGTGGAGTGCCCGCCTGATTGAGGCCACCTGACTCCTGCAGTCTGCCCTCAGGCTCCCACTGTCCCATGTGCATCTGAAGGCCAGGGTAGGCATAAGGGCCAGGACATGCTGCCCATATCCAGGGACAGGAGCTAAACAGGCACCTCCATGGTCCAGACAACCTCACAGTGGAGGTGTCCCCCAGTCTGTCCTTCACTGGAACAGGGCAGAGTCCCCAAGGTGCATCAGGGAAGGAAAAGGGGCAAAGGCCTCCCCAGGGCGGGAGCGAGGCCCAGGCAAGTCCCCACAAGCTGAGTCTCAGTGGGTGGAACAGGCCACCTGGTGGGGGAGGGCTCTGCCAGGACTGGGCTCGGCCCGGCACTGAACCTATGACCAGGCATCTGAATTCAGCAGGGAACAGCTGCTCGACTTTTCCTGAGTGCTGGGCTCTGTGTGCTGGACTTCAGTGAGGGCCAGGCAGAGGGAGGACAGGTAGGAGGGCCAGACTGGTGCCACTGCCTGGGAAGCAGCAGAGTTCCTCCCCCTGCTGTTAACGCCCAGAGTGGGGAGAGGCGGCTTGGGAGATGTGCAGATTTTTACAGGCCGAGAATCCCTTATCTAAAATGTCTGTGCTCAGAATCATTGCAGTGGGTGTTTTCAGGTTTTGAAATATTTGCATATACAGTATGAAGTACCTGGCTAAAGGTGCTTCAGATAAACCTCACACCCACAGATTAGGTTAGCGCTATACATTTTTAGATACCTGGACTGACTGTGACCGTCATGTGAGGTGAAGTGAATTTTCTTTTCTTTTTAAAAATTTACTTATGCGCAGGGCTGAGAATCGAACCCAGTGCCTCCCACATGCTAGGTAAGTGCTTCACCACTGAGCTAGAACCCCAGCTCCAGAGTGGGATTTTCTACATGCGTTGTTATGTCCACACTCCAAAAGTTTGGGATTTGGGGCCATTCTGGATTTTGGATTGGGGATACTCATCCTGTATCCTAAACCCAGGGGGAGGGAATAGCCCTCTGCAGAGTGAGGTGGGCCTTGGTCCCCTCCCCTGCCCTTCCTGGCATTTCTCACCTTTCCATCCCTTCTGCCCACGAGCTCCTGGGAAACCGGAAGGCCCAGGGTAGCCCACACGTCCTTCTGCTCCTTTAAGACCAAACAGGTAACCTAAGGAGAAGACACGCAGAGTCAGGCACGTTGGCACAGGACGCCTGCAGCAGAGGTGCAGAGCACAGACAAAATACTGAGAGATACTGAGTCCAAGAAAGTGTGTGGTTTGACAGCCATGTCACTTGGGTTCCAAGATTTCCACCCCTTCTAGTCCATGTGAAGGCCCCTCTAAGCACCCCGTAGATAGGATGACCTGGGTTCCCCTCGCCCTTCTCCTGGGTGGGTGCACAAGTGCTACCCCACCATCATTCCTCTGTGCCCGTTTACTCACACGCCCCTCGCGGAGTTAGTGTCATAATGTGGGTTCCTCATGACCAGTTGGGACTCGGTGTGGTCATTCTCACTGACTGACTTTGACCAGCTCATAACACCATCAATCAGGGTCAGGGTTCCTCTAAATCACTGTGGCCGCAGCGCCCCACACCCAAGCAGGGCTGGCAGTGGAGGTGTGAGTCCATCTACTCTGGATCCCAAGATAGCTATGCTTACAGAAGAGTGCCACCTTGTGGTGACACAGGGCTGCACACCTCCAGGAGACTGGCTGGTGGACCCTGCTCGGTTTTGCTCCTTTGCTAAGACTAAGTATTTGTCCAGGTTCCAAGGAGTGAACAAGTCCCCAAGAGGGGACCTGTGCACCCACGAGGAGAAGGCCATTCAGCAAGCAGGAAGGAGAGGAAAACACCAATTTTAAAGAGTTTTGCCATGTGGTTGGAAAAATGGCACCAGGATTCCAGGGTCAGAGAGCTTCTTGGTGAGTTGAGATGTTCAGGGAAAGATGAATGGGTACTGGCTGATGTAAACTGGTCTTACTACACCCTGACACAATGTCATTCATTCTTTGAACATAGCCCAGTGCCGGAGTCAAGCCAGCATGTCCAGGAGCTACGGCACATGGGGACAGAGCCCGGATGTACCGGCAGCTGACATGCAGTACACGCTGTAGTGAACCAGCCAGCATAGACTTCCAGGTAGGACGAGCACTGTGAGCGACTGGCAGAGAATCACGGGCCTCAGGAAAGTCCTTTCCGAGGAGGTGACACCAATTAAAACCCAAAGGGTGTTGGGGACAGGACAGGCAGGGCATAGGGGATGTATCCCAGAGGATGGGTGCATCTAAAGGGCTGGAGATGGAGAGAGCCATGACTGGAGAGTGCATGCAGGGTGCAGGGGAGGTGGTTCAGGAGGGTTTGGTTTTTATCCCCAGGCCCAAAGGAAGCCCAAATTAAAGACCTGAAGGAGCAGGTCACAGGACCCATTGTGAATTGGGTGTGGGGAGCCAGGTGCCCAGAGCAGCTGGTTCTGGCTGGAGCTCCAGGGGTCATGGAGGGAGCAGGGCACCAGGGAGTGGCAAGGTGGAGAGCTGTCTGGGGTGCTTGGGAGGTGCATGTGTCCGCTCTGCATAGAGTCGGGGTCTGCACATCTGTGGTTCAAAGCACAGAAGCAGACGGGGGCAAAATGGGGGCCTGGCTGTGTGCGCTGATCCAGGAAGGGAGGAGTGTGCCTGGGCGGAGGCCAGAGAACGGGGAGAACCCACCTCGGGAGCTCCATGCTACAGGAGCGGGGTGGGGAAGGAAGAGGTAACCAGGAGCCCCAGAAAGAGTGCTGGGGGGCCCTGGGCCAGTCATGGAGGGGGTGAGGAGGCACCACGCTCTGCCTCCAAACAGGCCGTGTGGGCTCCGTGGGCTCCCCTGCTGTGTCCCACCCTCCCCACGGTTATGAGGAGGGTACCACAGGGATAGTACTTCAGCCTCCCGACTCAGGGCCACCAGCATTTACAACTGGAGGCACACCAGTAAGGACAAAGATGAGTGGGTCCCCAGGAGGGGATCCCCAGGAGGAGGATCAGACACTTTGCAAACCCAGTCACATAGGCAGAGTGGTGCCTGAGAGGCGTCCTCCCCCCTCCTGGTCGTCTTCCTAGTCCCATCTCCTTCCTAACTAGGCTTTGAGCCTGGATGCTCTCAGCAGAACAGAGCAGCAGGGAACACGGCCACTCGACTCCTCTAACTGACTTGGAGAAGGGAACCGACTTCAAGGCTCGATTTCACTGGAACTGCACAAGACTGGAAATTCTAGTTTTCATTCCTAGCCACACACAAAATAGGATGAAGTGCAGTTAATAACAGGAGCCTGACAATTTCATTCTGGGGGAAAAAACCAGAACTCCGGGGAAAAAGATCACTGATATTCAACTCAAGTGTACACACATACTTCTCTCTTTTTTTCTTTTGAGGTGGGGTCTCATGTTGACAGGCTGGCCCTGAACTCACAGTTCTGCTTCAGCCTCCAGAATAGCTGGGACTAAAGTGTGTGCCACCATGCTGGCCACCGACACTTGTAAAAGGTCATGGTCATTGTGGCTGGCTACTTTTTATATAAGGGGTTGCTAAAAAAAAATTGTGTGGGGAGGAGATGTGAAACAATATATATATCATGAGGGTAAGAATTTAAGTTGTATGCTTTAAAATTCTTCAGTTGATAAACTTTATGTGATATCATTCCATCTATTTTACACACTCCCTTATCAGCCTACAACACAGATCAGAATTTAGTTGATGATCTGTGATTGACTTACACTGGTAAATTAGTAAATTGTAGATTTACTAAGAAAGATGGGATAGCATGGTTCGTGTCTATCAAAATGGAATTTGGTCACAGCAATCAATGGCTATCCTAGTCTTCAATCACAGCGACTTGTTTTTATGCTTTTATTTTAACATATATTCTGTTCCAAATAAGGGAAACTCAACAGATACTATTTACTTGGAAAGATAATTTGGCTATTATTGCAGATCCACATTAATAAATATCACATAATAGAAAATATTAAAGATAACATTGTTCAAACTCTTTGGCAAATTCATGACCCAGGGAAATATCTGTGCTTAAAACTTTTTGAAAAATGTAGAAACCTGTGGAAATTAGAACTATATGAAATTAAAAATTTACCATAAAATATGAAATAGGTATGGAGAAGTCATTGTGACTCTTAATAGAAGAAACACTTCTAAAACCTCCAATAAGTTTCCTTCTGGAGATTTCAAAGTATCTTCTAAAGCAATTAAAATCTCAATGTTTACATTTGAATTTAATGGAAATCCAACTCTATCCATTAGCAAATATGATGTTCATTCTCCCTGAAGATAGAAGCTAGTGAGAGATTATTGGAGGTGACAACAGAGAATTTAGGGTGAACTATTTTGAAGAGGAGAGGCTGTTACACTTTGGCCAGTGCCACACAGATAGGGTGTGACCTCCTATGTTCCTCCAGTGCCTCGTTGTCCAGTCTCCTGGGGGACACAATGTTCCCATTAGGAATTTCAGAGTGTTGAAAGCGTACTGGATACTGAAGCTGAGAGCATGCCCTTTTTGGACAGCAGGCCAAGGCCGCCCGCTGTGCACATTCTCGGCCTCCTGGGGCACAGCATTCCCAACACATGAGAGCTCAGCAGCACTGAGGCTGGAAATGCCTCTCGGGCTAAGCATGGAGGTGTCGTGGGGCAGCTGGTGGGCCACCGTCTCAAGCTTGTCTTGTATGGGCTGAGAACTGAGGAGAGGGGCTGCAGGTCCAGGAGTGGGCCTCTGCCCTGGAAGAAGGTGTGTGCAGTTGGCACACAGACCCGGGACAGGGCTTCAGCTCACATTTACGCTGGCATCTCACCTGTTTGGCTGAGGCAGTAGTAACCAAAGTTCACTACATAAGAGCCACGTGACAGGCTGACCTGTGTCCACTCCCGTCCCAGATGAATGAGTTCAGGATTATTTAGCAAAAAATTCCAAATAAAACCCTGCTGGGTTGGCTGGACCCAGAGGAGCCAGCACTGGCACACACCTGCCTTTGGCGTCCCTCCACTCACCATCTGGTCCAGGTGGTCCGGCAGGCCCCGGGGCTCCTGGGAGACCAGGCTTTCCGTCAGCTCCGGGAGGGCCAGGGTAGAATGCAGGGATGCCAGGTTCTCCTTGGAAGCCTTTGGGTCCCATCTCCCCTGGGAGGCCTCTCTTCTCATCTGAAACCCACAGCATTAATCAATGTCACAGAATAGGGCGGCACGGGGTTCCTGGTGTTTAGGGCTGCGCTGATATTTACGTCCGCAGACCACCAGCAGGTGCAGCGGGGTTCACAGTCTAGTCAGTGACGTAGAGGTGGATGCCACCTTTAAAATGTCTTTAAAAAGTCCCCTCTTCTCCCTCCAACAATGGCCTTTGATTGTGCTAAATTTCGGTGCCACAGATCTGCACAACTCCTGTGTGCCTTCCAACCAGCTGATGGGACCAGGCTAGTTCCCAGTTGGTGGCACAGTCTAATGCAGCTGGGGGTTACTGTCACCTGCGTGAGGTTCCACACAGACATCACAACAGGCTGGTGTGGCTCGTGCCTGAGGAGCACCCCCCCCGTCTCAGCAGTCCCTGCTCACAGGAGCTAAGGCACTCGAATCTGAGGTCTGATGCCACCAGGCCCCTTACCTTCATCTCCAAAGGACAGGCCAGGGGGTCCTGTGGGCCCGGGGTCTCCTGGCTCACCGCGGCTTCCTGGCTCCCCATGAGGTCCTGGGAATCCTGGGTCACCTCTGGCACCTAGAAGGGACAAGTCCCGGGTAGGGTGAGCCTGTTGTGTGCATACTGCAGCAGGCAGCATCTTCGCTGGAACTTACCCGCTGATCTTCTGAACACAGAGGAGGTTCACGTGCTCGGGAACTAGGGGGTTCTGGGTTTCAGGGTCTCATTCACGATCCATGGGGGGTCTATGGGGGGATTCCTGTCATTATGAACAGTGCAGGGGCACCGGATGCTGAGCGAGCGCTTGGAGTTTTCAAAGGTGGGGGAGGTTCTTTTGAAGGAAGAATCTGATGCTGAGGGATCCCAGGGAATAAAAGGACTGAGGCGGAGGTCATCTGGAGCGCGGCCTGAGTGTGGGAGCCCGAGTGGCGACCACCAGAGCCCATGACTCCACAGCCCCATGGCCCCTGCGTAGACCTGCTGCAGCCCCCTTCTACAGGTGAGAGAAGGGCGCCCAGAAAGGACATCAGCCACACTGTGTGCCCAGCTCCACTGCACTCGGCCGGACCGGGCTGGGCTGAGGGGTGTTGGGGACAGGCTAGTGGGAAGTTAGGGGAAAGAGCGGCTGAGCCCAAAGCTCCACGGAAGGCAGAAGTGAGGACAGTAATCCCACAGCGCATCAGGCTCCAGAGGGGAGGCCAAGGGGCTGGCTCCTCTCCCCGGCTCTGTGCCCTCAAGGCTTCCTTCGGGGCTGGCAGGTGGATAACAGGTGGACTTCCTACTGAACAACTGCTGAGCAGCATCCCTGTGTTCTCTAGCTGCCCCACAGCAAACTTTTACCACCTACGTGTTTTTATAATTAGGAGAGAACAGAGGAGAAAACCACATTTTGTCACACACTATCAGTAATTTGGGGCAAAGCCATCACTCTGCATATGATCTTCCATTTTTTCAACCTTAAAACATTTTTTCTTAAAGTGAGATGAGGATTGGTGGCCCTCTTGAGCTGAGGGTGCGAGTGTTTGAATTTCTTGCCTGTCCCGCTGCTTGTTGCATATGGCACTCAGGAGAGTCACTCGGCTTCCCCGTGCTTCAGTTTTTCCCTCAGGAAGATGGAGCTGAGAGTCACCCAGCTCACAGGGCCATTGGGAGGGGTGAACAGATTGACAGGTGCAATCAGAACCACCTGGAACAGTGGCTTGGCGCACCGCGCATGCTCTCAAGAGTCTCCATTGCCACAGTAGCAGAGCGTCTGAGAAGACGCCTGTTTTAGCTACTTGGAATCCTTTCCTTCAGCACAGACCCCTCTCCTTTCTGCATTTCCACAAGCCCATGCCAGGCTGCCTTGTAACGAGACACCCCACCCGGAGGACTCTCTCCAGAGGTAACCTTCTGCTCGGCCACTCTGGAATGCAACTCAGTCACATTCCAGCTACCAAAAGCCAGGAGCATCTTCCCGCGGAGAAGAGGGCAGTGGAGGCATTTCTACATCTGCATGTGGGCAAAACTGAATTTCCAACCATCCCTCTTTCCACCTGACGGCCAGGCACACAGAGTGGGGTGGGGGAACTGAATGGGCCCTGAGCTCTCGGTCAGCCAAATTTTTGATAATGCAAAAGATCATGTTAACGGTGATTTAAAAATCATGTGCCCAAGGCCTCAAAAGGAATGTTCTCATTTTATCAAGATCACAGATCCTGGGCTGGGGTTGTGGTCAGAGGTAGAGCGCTCGCCTGGTACGTGCGAGGCACTGGGTTTGATCCTCAGTACCACATAAAAAAATAAAGATATTATGTCTACCTATAACCAAAAAAAAAAAAAGAAAAAGAAAAAGACGACGAATCCTCAATCAAGTCTAGCCAGCCGTGGGTGCTGTCTTGGGCTTTGTGTTTACAGACACTTTAGATACGGTGTGGGAAGGTGGGTCACGGGTGCTGAGCGCAGTCCTCACAGCAGGCCCATGGGTGGCTCCAGGCCTACAGAGATACGTGTGCAGGATGCTCACCAGCCCTGGGGGGCAGCTGCTGTCGGATTTCCTGAGTGATATTCTAGATAGTAAAACCAGAACCTGTGCGTCACGTACACCCCTGGAAGGCAGCGAGGCCCGTCAGGCAGACAGAGGTTGGTTCCTGTGATACTCCCGAGCCCTGCGGGAAGCGGCGCCCCAGGCTGTGTCTGAAGCTGCGCTCTCAATACTTTGTCTGGTTTTGCTTGGAAAAATCTGTCTTAAAATTTCATGACTCTGTGTCTTTGGCAGAAGGAAGTATATGTGTGATGCTAAATCATTCTGGGGAAATTTTCCTACCAACCTTTAGCCAGGGAAGGATGAGGCGAGTAGACAGGTGGTCCTGGGGGACCCTGGTCACCTGCTTCCCCCTGGAGAGAGAACAGGAGAGAGTGAGAAGGGCCTTCTGGGCTTCCATAACTACACATTTCCAAAGAATCAAGGTGGAGATGGAGTCAGGTGGGCAGGGCGACTATTCTGACCAGTCCACCCACAGCCTGTCCCTGCGGCCACGTCTCTGCTGCGTGGTGGTGAAGTCCGGTGCCCCACTGCCAGCCAATGCACCAGAGGGAACAGTACAGGCACGTGCCAATTTCATTGTGAAACACTAACAGAACACCAGCAGTGGCCAGGGGACAGTGTGTCCCACAGGCCAGACCAGCCGTGTGGTGACATCTGGGCATCCAGAGACGGGGAGTGGGGAGGGGTTGTGGCAGCACCTGAGGTCCTGCTCTCACCAGATGCATGTCAGAGGGAAGGCCCAGCTCACCCCACTGGTCCTCAGAATTAGCCAGACAAGCTGTACCCTCCCCCAGAGCCAGGGGCCCTGCGCTGCGTTGTGACTACAAAACCCCCTCCCCACAGCCTGCTGGACCTCTCTCTCCTGGGGCAGCCTGGGTGGCCCTGTAGGGCATATGGCACCCTGATCCTGGGCGAGGAGTCCATGTGGCTAATGAGCGGTCAAGGGTCTCCTCCGACCAGGGCTGGGCACTGCGCGTTCCCCATCTGTTTAGGGTGGGTGCCTCCTTCTCCAGTGGCGGGCGGGACCTCATCAGAGGAAAGGCTGCAGAGGACTCACCTTGGGTCCTCGGGGCCCATCCGTGCCCTGGTAGCCATCCAGCCCCCGGCTTCCCTGCGGAGAGAGGCTTGCTTTTTATTTTGATCTAACATATAACTTTAAAAAGTGACCATGGCTTCATTATTATAGCTAGAAAAATTAACAGTGATCAGCTGAACTCCCTGACTATCCAGTGTGTCTTCCATTTCCCCTGAGTTTAGATCCAGAAATACCTTTTTAAAGTCTCTTTGTTTAAACCAGGAGCCAAAGTCCAAATTTGACATTTGGCTGCCAGGTTCTCAGTTCTCTTTTAGCTCATAAGTTTTTTCTCCCCTTGCCCTTTCCTTTCTTTCTTTAAAGTATCTTTTTGTGGTTGCTGTTGTGGGAAAACCTGGGCCATTGTGCTGCCAATGTTCCCGTTGCTTTGGGTGTTGCTGTGGGTGCGGGGGTCTGCCTCCCTTCCTGCGTTCTTCTCCCCTGGTCACTAGGGCTGGGGGCTGGTCAGTCCAGGAGCTGCTCAGAGGAGCCAGCTCTTTCCTGTGCACTGGGTGCCAGGAGCCCCACGCCAGTGATCTTGTGACTGAACAGTGGGCTCCGGTGTTGATGTCAATCCAGCTGCTAGAATCTTCCCAAGACGGGATTTGAACATCAGCCCTTAACACCAAATACAAGTATTAAAATCTCTTGAGAATTCTCCTCTTTGTTAAAAAAAATAACTCTAATGTTGCTTCCTAATTCTCTTGAATATTTACTGAAGGAAGAAGTTCACCGTGGTGGGTCGAATCACGAGGTAACAGGATGGATTAGAGCTTCCTGGAGTCGAGACGTCACTCCTCCTTACAGGCTTCCTCTGGTACAGTCCCCGATCTCAGGACAGTGCAGCCTGAGGCCCCGAGGACTTGATGGGGCTCTTTCACAGGAGATTGGAACCGCTGCAGCCGTGTTGCTGGGCGCTCCAGGAGAGGCGGACGTCCGCTCCCACTGCAGACCTGCGGTTCACGTGGGAGCACTCACACGAGGTGGAGCTGGCTCCGAAAGCGGTCAGTGTCATGACTTTCAAGGGCAGAGTAACCCACGTTAGGGAAAGTCCTTAGGCAGAAGTCCTCAGGGACGGGCAGAAACAAGCTCCTGAAGGAATTTATTATGACAGGCCTCTTCCAAAGAGACCCTGATGCTCCAGTAAACTGCCTCCCGCAGTCTAAACAGGCCTCCCGCGTCTCCGGCTCAGTGGGCGCCTTCCCAGGTCCAAGGAGCGTGGGTTAGGCCAGACGGAACTCACAGGGCCACCTGAGATGTCGCCACCCGTCAGCCTGAAGGCCAGCAGGCTGCGCTGCGGCGAGGTTTCCACAGAAGAGCCCCACCTGGAGTCCCCTGTCACCACCCGGCCTCTCCTGCAGTAGCTGGAGAGCCGGGATGACGCTCTTGAGCGGAACCTGGTAAGCTAGTGCCCGGCTGCCCACTGTGGGTAAAGGGACTGGACTCCAGCCAGCTCTGATCCAGGTCTCCTGGTCCTGCTGACATGAGGCGGTGAGGGGGCTTCTGCCAACACGACCGGCAGCCGTCATTGGCTGGTGTCCCTCCAGGGCCTCAGGTCCTGGCGAGCACTTTTTACGATAACTCTAGTGTGAAAAGCCTTTACTCAGTTACTAAGTTTGCCGTAGAAAAAGGAGGGAGACGATCTCGAATTGCTCAGAAAAGTTAACACAACCCGGAAAAGTTAACTTCTCCCATCCCCCGGAGAAGGTTCAGACTAACCACAGCTCTGTGATGGCAGTGGGGGTGGATAGCTTTGGTGTCATGCGGGGAGGCCACGTCTTCCCAGAATGCATTTCTCCCTTGGTCCCCTGCTTTGATGCGTGGTATTTGTTAACGTCCACTGCTGTTCCTTGGAGTGGCTTCTGGCTACTTGCTCTTTGTTATTGCCAAGACCAAACCATGAGCACAAGATCAGGGTGACCTGGAGAGGCACGGGCGCTGCACAGACACCCGGCCACCTGGCCTGCAGTGCAGCCTCTAGATACATTTTTACAGCCAAGTAAACTATTCCTACAATCCACTTAGCCACAGATGTCTGCATCCTCCCATGTCACAGCAACTGCATAGAGGAAGCTGGAAGGGTGGTCGGCCTTCCTCATGCCTGACCATGCAGGTGGCCAGGGCCTGCTGGGCCTCTTATGGCTCATGGACTTCTGGGTTCTAGGGGCAGCTATGTCGAATCACCTTTTGAAATAACTCAATTCCTATGTGTTGGGTGCAGAGAACCGATCATAACTGATTTCACTAGCATGTGGTAGGCAACTTGGGAACTGGCAGTGACCTCCGAGGACAAGGGTGGGCAGGGTGGGAGACTGTCGAATATGGAGGCCTGCTTTGGTCTCCGTCTGTTAGCCAGCCTCGTCCCTTGCAGCCCTTTGGCTGTGAGCTGACCACAGGACCGGTTGGCTGTAGCATGGACAGCTGTTGCCTGGAGTGCTCATAATGAGTACTGAAAGTAAGTACTCAGAGAAACCAGCTCTATGTGTTCTCTCTCGTATGATCTAGTGTTTACGATTTTAAACCTGATCCAGAATCATAGTACATTTTTCACATAACATTTCCCCCTAAAGACCTGCCCACCCAAACACATGATAAAAATAATTATCATTGAACATAAAACATCAAAGTGTGTGTTGATCTATAAAAAATATATCAACCTCGGGGACTGAGCTGACAGCCTTCCTGAGAGTGACAACGATGATGTAGAAGGGTGTGAGGTCCAGGGAGGCAGCCAAGCAATGAAAGTCTTGGGGGAGGGATCAGTGGAAGAACTGAGAGGCTGATTTGCAAGAAAAACCCCAAGAAAATGGCAAAAATCTAAGTGTTGTGAGTGAAAGGCTTATTGATGCCACTGTCAATGCAGGGAAAGATGCTGCCTCTGGGGCCAACGTTCTTTTCTGCAATGCCGTGCCTATTTGAAGGGCCTTTGTAAGAGATCTCAGGTCCAGAGCAGACTGTTTGACGCAGCAAACTTACTTTCTGTCCTGGGGATCCTTTCTCTCCATCGAAGCCAGAAGGGCCCTGGGTTGAACAGAAAACAGCAATTAGCAGCTTAGAACACGAAACAGAAATTTCTAGAGGTAGATATTTTGGTACTTGAGGAGGATCAAAACAACCAAATTCAACACCAAGAACAAACCACCAAATATGATTCTCCCTGTTTCAGAAGGTGGGGTGGGGTTGTGCAGAGATCTGACCGTGGTAAGACGGGAAAAGGAACAGTCACCACTTAGAGGAGCAAGCTTCCCCTCCTATGAGAGGTTCCCAAACACCTGGAGTCCTGTTTTCTAAAGGGGAGGTCATGCTGGCAACACCGTCATCCAATGCACCATTTCTGCTGCTTAAGGAAACATGGAAGAACGCACAGAGGTGCACAGGAATACAGAAGACTCCTGGACCCAGTGTTCTGCAAGTGTCTCTTGTTACTCAGAGACCATGTCTTTTTCATGGTAATGACTGCCAGATAGTCAGCAAGAGCCTCCTTCTCCTCTCACTGGGCGCAGGACTCTGACCACACTTCCCTACCTGTGACTGAATCTGGAGGTGGCCAGGGGCTTTCAGGATGCTGCTCTGAAGGTGGTATCTACATCTCCTGCAGGATCCTCTACCAGGGACATTCTTTCTTCTTTTTTTTTTTGGCGGGGGCGGGGGGTACTGGGGATTGAACCCCAGTGGTGCTTAACCACTAAAACATATCCTCAGTCCTTATATTAATTTTTTAAATTTTGAGACAGGGTCTTGCTAAGTGCTTAGGATCTCACTAAGTTGCTAGGGCTGGTCTTGAATTTGAGGTCCTCCTGTCTCAGGTTCCTAGTTGCTAGGATCACAGGCATGCACACAGCACAGTGACTTTGTTTTTTATAGTGCTGGGGATGGAACCCATGCTGAGCAAGCACCTACCACTGAATTCCATTGCCTTTTATATTTGTTTTGAGACAGGGTCTTTGATGAGCTGCCCAGGCTAGCCTTGAACTTGTGATCCTCCTGCCTCACTTCCCCAGTAACTGAGATTACAGGTATGTGCCACCACTCCTGGCACTAGGGACATTCCCGTTGTACTCCTGGGGCAATCAGAAATCAATCTGTGTTCCACACACTACATTTTTGGTTATCAAAGACTAGATGAGCCTAAAATGACACAATGTTTGGGTTTGGTCCCCTCCCTCCAGGTGGGGTGCACAGTTTCAGAAGCTCCAGTGTTGGGTGAAGGTGAAGGGTGGCTGGGGGGTGAGGGGCTGCAGAGATGACCGTCCTGGAGCAGGGTGTCCAGTGAGGAGGCTGTGTGGGGGGGCGTCAGAACAATGGTAACACACTGCGCTTTCTGCTCACTTTTCTTCTTTTTAGCTACACATGGACACAATATCTTTATTTCGTTTATTCATTTGCTATGTGATGCTGAGGATTAAACCCAGTGCCCCACATGTGCGAGGCAAGTGCTCTGCTACTGAGCCACAACCCCAGCCCCTGCTCACTTTTCTTATGAGCCTAAAACTGCTCTAGAAAAATAAAGTCTATTCAAAAAGCCAAATAGACAGACATTCTCAGTTATAAAACTCAGCTCACCCGCGGTCCTGAAAAGCCGACGATGCCTTCCTCTCCCTTCACGGAGATGCCCTACGAGAGAGCAGAGTGGCATGAAGGGCTGCCCTTCCCAGCCCCAGTGCCCCACATCCTCCATGACATGAGGGTGCTGGGAAAGCCCCCCAGTGTGCCTGGATGACACGAGGTAGGCTGGTGGGATGGATGAGCGAGAGGGCAGAGACCCCTCACCCAGACGGAGGCCAGCCCACCACCTCCCAGCCCACCCACAGCCCCCACATCTGCCTTAGAACTTCAAATAAGGTTGACTGGCCAGGGCTTGTCGTGCAAAAGGAGGGCGCTCTGAAAACATTTTCTGGAAAACCAGAGTCCGGCTCACTCCACCTGTCGGCAGGAGCCCGGGACCCAAGGGAGGAAGGCACTGGCCACCAGGCTGGCCACCGAGCTTACCTTTATGCCCGGCTCCCCCCGGCTTCCCTTTTCGCCCTGCAGGGAGCGTGAAGAAGGAAAAATACGCATTGATTTGTGAACAGCAACATCTGACACTTGATCAGGAATATGAAGTAAAAAGTCTTTAATAAAACTTTAAACCATTACTAGAAATGAACTGTAGCCACTAATTCCCCGAATTTGAAGCTTCAAAAATCGAATGGAAACAAAAGTGTTAGTTTTAGATTTTTTTAAAAAAATGTTTTTTGGTTGTGGATGGACACAATATTTATTTATTCATTTTGCGTGGTGCTGAGGATCCAACCCAGTGCCTCACACAGGCGAGTGCTCTGCCACCGAGCCCCCGTCCCAGCCCCATTATTCTAGACTTTTACAAGATAAACCAAATCATGTGTGGTTCCCGACACGAGTGAAAGGTGGCCTCTCTCCCATCCATGAGGTTTCCTCTGTCACTCATGAGTTACAGGTGTCTCAGCATCTGTGCCAGTGTCACCCTCCACGCCCCAGTGGTGCAGTGGGAGGGACACTCGGGGAGGAACCCCGAGGATGGCATTCATTTGAATGAGGCAGGACCAGGAAGGTCCTCGAGGAAAAGATGTGCTTGGAACACATTAAAAGCTCCAGCAACAGTGGCTTTAGGAAGCAGCACTGATTTTGTTTCACTCTTTTTGACTGGCGAGGTCCTTGGTCCCTGGGTCGCCTGACACTTGGGCTCCTGTAGCTCATGACTGCCCCCTGCAGGCAGGCTTGGAACCCACCCCCTCTTCTTGGAAGGTTGAGCCCCTCAGCTTGGCCTGGACCTGCCTGGTCCCTCGTCTGCAGTTGGGTCTAACTGCACACAGACCTGCTCACCACCTCCAGGCCACCTTTGTCAATGGTCACTTATAAGTGCCCGGGGCCACAGCTGGCTAGATTGGTTTCTTCCTGCAGTCATGACCCTGCTGGCCAATCTCACCTATGACCCAGGCCCCAGACCTCCTCATGTGGCGAGGGAGTTGGGGACTAACCCCTTGCGCGGGGCCTCCTTGCTCGCTCCAGCTTCCGGGCCTCAGTGAGCCCATCTCCCCCTGGCCCTGACAGGCAGGCCCAGAGAGTCCTGCCTGAGCCAGGGGGGGCAGAGTGCAGCTCCATTCCAGAACTGGAGTGTGCTTTTAGTCCCACAAGATGCCAACAGAAGAAAAGGGAAAGTATCGTAAACGGATTCAAAAGAAAAGGTGCTTCAGCCGAGCTAAGAAGAAAGCAGGTTTCATTTGTGTAATATGACCTTTTGCTCAGATGGATCTGTGATCCTGGCTTTGAATCATGCTATGGCCATTAACCTGTGTCTACCTCCCATACCTAAGGAGAGACCTGTTTCCTCAGTGGGTTCTCATGTGGCTTTGCATCCGCAGTTGTTTGAGATGAAGGGTGAAGCCGTTTCTCTGTGGGCCTGGGAACTGTCTGGGCGCCTCAAGGGCATTGGGAGGGCCGGCAGCAAGGCCTTCCCTACGTGGGAAGGGACTGAATGCAGTTGAGGGAAGTTGCCTTTTCCCCTCTCTTTTTCTCTAGTGCCACTGGGAAAACAGTCACCCTCTTTACCTTGTACTGATCCGGGTGGATGGTCGTCTTGGTGGGCCCATCGATGGGGTGGAAGGTGTCTGACGGGATCCCGTTGGGTCCTGGCAGTCCCACGTCGCCCTGAGTGTTCAGCAAGAGAAGCCATTGTGAATTGAAAGAAGAGCCGAAAGCTTGAATGGCAGTACAACCCACCACCACACTGCTTTTAATTTTAGCATGTTGCCACCTGTATACCTACTTTTCAGTACAATGATCCTAAAATAAAATGCTCATAACAGCATAATCCTAAAATGAAATTCTTTTTGTCCCACTTTCACAAGTAGTTGTTTAGCACCTATGCATCAAAACTGCGTGGACTGTCAAGTTGCGGACTGCATTTCCTTCTCTGGAATTCCCTTGAGGGCTCCCAGTGTCAGCCACTACTGCTTGCCAAGACAACCCCAAGATGTAAGAAATGCCTGAAAAATGGAAGGCTAGTCCAGTCTTACCACCACTCACCAGCTAAGGGTGTTTTTATGTAATAAAAAACTGTCTCAAATAAACCTATCATCTCAAGTTTGAGCCTAGTGATCACCAATAGAAACACCAGCAAACTGAAATGCTGTATCAGCTGTCAAGAGCAGCACTCTACAATGAATTCTGAACATCCACTAACGCGTCTTTTAAATACTGAAAACTGTCCCTCTCCTTGGTCTACTGGGACCTTGGTATTGTCACTAGTGGTTTGAATTAGCCCTCTGTAAGTTACAGACACTCAGTTCATTTCCACTGTTTCTAATGACCATTCTCTCCTTCCACTAATGATTTCTTCCCATATTTTTCTTTTTAAAATTTTCATCTTGGCATATATTTCAGCATGTGGGAAGCAGTCCCATTTTGTTGGCTCTATTTTTGTGTGTTTGGAAATTCAATGTTTTTCCTTTGAGACTTCTTTCATGCTCTTCATGCAAAAAACCCACGTCTTCACATCTGAGCAGTACTTAGTTCCACTCAGTGTGCAGCTCAGCCCAAAGCAGAATGGAGACAGAGTGGCCCTGCTCACACAGCCAGGACCCAGGTGAGTGCCCTGGGCATGGGGTGGCTCGGGGTGTGGGCGCCTGCTCTTCTCTGAGGCCAGGAGTCCTTGAATCTCAGCACTATCAGGAATGATAAAAGCCATAGGGTCCTTGCTCCTGCCTTTGAGGCCAGCAAACACCACTGTCACCTGCCCCTGAGATGGTGCCATGTCACCTCTGGTCCTTGACTGAGTCCCTTTAGCACCCTGCGTTTCCATTGTTAGAAGACACATTCACTAAATGCCTTTGCTTCCCAGCTGGGCAGTCTGGGGTCACAGCACTGGGCCAGAGGCCTAGGCCAACCTGGACAGCTTGTGTCATGACTCACTCATGTGCGACCACCCTGAGAACTGGCCCTAGACGGCGGTCGCCTCCCGTCTCCGTGTCAACCTCGGTAACTGATGGCGTCGCAGCTGTGCAAACCTCCCAGGGTGGCTTACCTTCTCACCCTTCTGTCCATAGAAGCCCAGTCCTCTGTTGCCCTGGAAAGATCAATGGCTTCTGTGAGTTTTAAAGTCAATAATCACAGTGAAATAAAACTCTGTTTTTAGAAGAAGAAACCCAAAACCTGCCTACGTGCACGGCACTGAGCCACGGGACCTGCAGAGGACTCGGGCTGCGGCTCCCAGGGGCCGACTGACTGTCAGGTCCTCTGACTGGGCCTCAGGGACCAGAGCTGAGGCTGGCGGCACTTTGGACCCTCTCCCGGAGCCCACTGCCTCTCCAGGGGAGACCAGGCCCTTCATTCCCTCCATTCCCTATTTGAAGGTCACTCTTTTTCCCATTCTCATTTCATATAAGCATTTCCTATCTTTTTGGGGGATTTAAAATCACTCTAAATGTAATGGTTAAGGTGACTCTTAGTGTTGGCCAACTTTCACCCTCCTTTGCCCAAGAGGCAGAATTGGGCCCTGAGCCAGCCCCAAAGTGGAGCAGCCTGGTGGAGAACCGGCCCACCCCGCTGTGGGAGCGGAAACGTGAGAGGCTGCCCCGAGTCCCCACACAGAGACCAGCTCTCTCCTGTCACTCCCAAACAGCTGGGCCTCATTCCCGGGTCTCCGTCTTCCCACAGTGAGAAGGGTCACGCGGAGCCCTCTCCGTCTTCCTCTCCGCAGTCTACCGTCCACCCCCTCCCGTGCCCAGGGCTTTTCTGAAAATGAAAACCCAGCCTTTAATTAATTGTTGCTCTTTGCTTCTTTCCCACCTGGCTGGGAGCTGAAATCAAAGCACAGAAAAGCAGCCTGGCTAGATCAGACGGCCATTTGGGTCCCCTGTGGTCTCCTCTGCCTCCGGGCTGGCTGTCAAAGTCACCAGGAAGTGACCTGGCTGGGTGAGAATTTGGGTCCCCACAGTCCTCTCTGCTTCCTGGCTGGCTGTCAAAGTCTCCAGGAAGTGACCTGGCTGGGGTGAGGATTGGGTCCCATGGTCCTCTCTGCCTCCTGGCTGGCTGTCAAAGTCTCCAGGATGTGACGTGGTGGGGTCAAGAGGGCTGCCTGTCTGCTGCGGCCAGTGCAGATCTGAGGCCTGCTGGGCTTGGGGGCTGCTGCTTCTCTGGCCACCCCACCAGCTTCTGCTGCCGCTGCTCTTGGCCTGGGGCCTCCCACCCTGCTCTTGGCCTGGGGCCTCCCACCCTGCTCTTGGCCTGACAGGCAAGTCCAGCAGCTCAGTGAGCACCAGCTGCAGCCAAGTCTTGTCAGAGGTCATGGGAGATGGGGGGCAGGAGGGGGTGTGGCTGTTGTGTCACCAGGTGACATGGAAACGGGACTTCAGGTGGAGCTGGCATGGGACAGTGAGGAGTGGCAGGCCCTTATCTGGAGGGGAGGCAGGGTGGCTCCTGGAGGTTCCCCACAGTGCCAGTGGGAGTCTTTGATGGGGCGAGTCTGACCAACGCTTCCCTCATCACCCTGGTCAGTGCGGAGGCTCCCCCAGCTCTCCCAGGTCAATGAACCCTGGCTCTGTTCTCCACGCTTCTGACAAACCACCTAGTTGGTTGTGCTTCTACCAACTTAAATCCTGCTGTGAGGAACGCAGGATGGCAAGGGCTCCGCTGACCTGGGCAGCACTGGGCATATATGTCCCTAGAGCCTGTCAGACTCCAGAGACAAGCGTCCCCAGCCTCCCACAGTGCACATGGCTACCACCTTCCCACTCCCCCAAATCAGCCCTGAAGACAACTCGAGCTGCCCCTGGGCTGTGCTGTGGCATGATTGCCGACCCATAGCCACCAGGGTGACTTTCACAGGGTATCAGGAATGCCCCGACCGACCAGCACACAACAGACTATTCACATTCTTCACCTGGGAACCAGCCCGGGACTCCTGCTGCCCCACAGGACCTGTGCTCACAGTTGAACCTCGAGTCTTAAAAACCTGCGTATTTACTTTTATCATAGTCTAAACAGTAGTAGTTGTCAACCAAGTGTCCTATGGCCAACACACCCGCAACCTGAGCCCTCCCTTGTCCTGGTCCCCAAAACTTACTGGCTGTCCTTTGGGTCCAGGGGGTCCGGGTGGTCCCTGCACAAATAAAAAGACATCTGTGAACTGGTTTCTTGATCCTAGGACCCAAACAACCTTGGCTGGGAGCTATGTTCATAAGAGCGACTCTTCCCAAACATCCGCATCTCCTTTTCTCCCAGTCTCTGCCAGGAACTGAGACGACAGCATCTCGACGCTCGTCTTTGGCTGGAGACGGTTTCCTGTGAGAAGGTCTCCTTCACTGCAGGAAACCTCCCCTTGTCGGGTCGAGGCCCGAGTGTCTTACTGCTAAAAGACCAGGAGCGTGGGAAAGGCGGAGACCCCTCGGGGTGGCCAGGTGTCCCGTGGGCCCCACGTGCAGCTGCTCGTCACCTGGCTCTCTTACCTGAGCTGCAGGAGGGAGTAACGTTGACCCCCACTCAGAGGGCCAAGGCCATTTGGCTAGTGACATCCAGCATCCTGCCTCTGCGATGGCCACGGCCAGGTGGGACAGACTTCCGCAGCAGGCCTGGCCCGGGATGAGCCCATCTCCTCTTTAGTGACCTGTGGGACTTTGGTCCACTTTGCCCACAGATGACAGGTCCTTTGTCACATGGTAGGCATGGGGCTGGGAGAGTTTATGCGCCAACGGAAGGCCACCGGTGGGAACCAGGTCCAAATCATCTGCCATGGTCGGCAGTGAACCAGAGACCACAGACTTTGAGTCCTTATTCTTAAACCTCAACAGTAGCAAAACATATGCAAAAAATGCCCTGCTCTGCGTTGGTGACTTCTAAGGTGACAGGTGCTGCAGGCTCCATGAAGCATTTCTCTATGGGCATTTCAACAAGTGGCCTCTGGGGGTGACTGGACAGAGGCCTGGGTGGGAGCATGCAAGAGGTACTTACGGGTCTTCCAAGGGCTCCAACTGGACCCATCGGCCCCATAGGCCCAGGGCGGCCAGGAGGACCCTGTGAACAACAAGAGAGTGTTTTGAAGAGACCAGCTGTGTGTGGAGGCCGGACGTTCTCAGAGCTGTGCTTGGAATCCTCTCTAATAAAAACCAAATTTACCTGGAATCCGACCAGTCCAGGCTCTCCGGGTTCACCCTGTTTGAGAGGAAATGATGTTTCACTGTTCAGCACTGTTACATTGTTTCATATCACTGCAGACCTAGGGCACATAGCTGGAGGGTACAGGACTCGGGGACCCCCACTCCCGGGGCAGCCCAGGGTGTGGGGTACAGGCAAAGAGCACACCTATGATTACTGCAAGGTGGAAAGTGTCCCATCGGAAATGACTTTTAAATTCCCCCCAATTCATCCCAAAAGTCATTTAAATGACTCTTAAATCCATCTTCCATTCTCCTGTGAATCCTTTCACGGGGCCCCTCTTACACTCCTTCACTTGGTACTGAACTCTGCTCAGAATTTACATGGGATGGGCTCATTCCGTCTACCCTCCTGGGCACACGTACCCTGTATTTGTCGCGGTCCTCTTTAGACAGTGCATAAGGTTCACCTTTCTGTCCTTTGGGTCCTTGGGGCCCCTAAATTAGCAGATATACCATAAAGAGAGAAAAACAAGTCGTTAACACTGAGGGTAGCTCTAGTAATCTGCGCCATCAAGCTGTGGCTTCTGGAGTCTAAATGTCCCCTGGTGTACAGGTCACTCAAGCACCAGCCCTGTATCCAGTACCTCCTGATGGTCCCTGTGGTCTACACAGACCTGAGCCCCAACCTGTGTCGGCAACTCCTGAATGTCCCTGTGGTCTATGCAGGTGACTCTGAGTACCGGCCCTATGTCCAGCATGGTATCTTTCCTCAGAGTTAAAATGGAAGTACTTTCTAGAATTTAACTTATTTTAAAAAATCCAAACGAGTCCTCTCTGTGCTCACCCTCCGGCATGCCATGAGATGTTTTATTTGGGATACCCTGGCTTCCTTTGGCATTAGTGTCCTAACGATATGAATGCACATAGGTTCCAGGCCCATTTGCAGGAGAGAGGCTGCGTTATCTCTACAACTAGTATTGTATCCAACATAGACAGTGTGGCACACATGTGTGTATGCACAAACATCTTTAACACCTACATATGCAGGCAACATTTCAAAGTGATAGGTATGTTTCTTGGTCATGAAATACATTTCAGAATAGAGGGGAAAATGGTGTAGCTTGTTGAAAAGCTGAACCATATACACAGGAAGCCAGGGAGGGCCTGAAGGCAGGGGGTGTGGTGCTTCTTTTGATTGGCTTCAGGATGAAGACTGGCAAAGCCCATCCACAACTTCCTCCTACTTTAAAAGGTCTTAAAAAAACTCTTAAAAATGTTTTGAATTTGTAAGATTTTCATGGTAAAAAGGAGAAATACAGGGCTGGGGATGTGGCTCAAGCGGTAGTGCGCTCGCCTGGCATGAACGTGGCGCTGGGTTCGATCCTCAGCACCACATACAAACAAAGATGTTGTGTCTGCCGAAAACTAAACAATAAATATTAAAAAAATTAAAAAAAAAAAAAAAGGAGAAATACCCTACTGATAAAATACTTCAGGGTTCTTGGCAAGAATCCTGAAAAATGAATGAGCCACAAAATGGACGATTCCGTGAAGCTCCTCCCCTGGGAAACCAAGCCTGGTCCCGTCTGCCACACAGCAAAGAGCTACAGACACAACCGTCCTGCTGTCATGAAGGTCCTGGAGCCTGTGAAGCTGGAGGCTCACAGGGGAGCCCCCAGGCCCACGTGTTGAATTTAGCTTGCTGTTACACTGTCATTCTCCTGAGCTGGAACATGGAGAGAATGGAGTGATGCGGGCGGGACATCTGGACCAGGCCAACCGTCTCATCCAAGATTAAGAAGGAATATGGACAGTGAAGTTCCTCCAACCCAGGACAACTGGGCCTCGGCGGGGGGCGGGGGGCAAGAAAACACGGGCAGGAAAGGAAGTGATGTGTCCATCCGGCGGCAGGAGCGGGAGTCTCCCCGGTTCCAAAAGTCCAGGTTTGGGGGTCTGCCTGTCCTAGGCCAGCAGCAGGAGGCAAGTGCCCTTCTCAGAGTTTCTCGAAGGGTGGCCAGCACAGGCCCTCTGGCTGAGCCTGGAAAGGGAGCTCAGGCCACCTTCTCCCCTGAGTATCCGCCACCCAGGCTTCCAGGCCAAGCAGGTTGGACACCATGCTCATACTCACGGGGGAGCCAGGAAAGCCCGCGGGGCCGGAGGGTCCTTGCGGGCCTGTGTCTCCCCTGGTCCCATTGCAGCCGTCATAGCCAGGCCGGCCCCGGGGCCCGCCTTGGCCTGGGTGTCCCTGGGAAAGAGAACCGTGCGTGAGACCGGTAGCCTGCACATGGGTTTCTGGTCTGCATGCAATAAAATAGAGGTAAATATTCTCACAAGCCCTGACCCTTCACGAGTCCAAGCAGGCCAAGCGTCCTGAGGCCTGAGCGGGGCACACCACCTGGCCAACGGGAAAGCTAGAGAGGGAGGGTTGTGCTAACTCTGTGAACATCTCCATCTCAGTTACCTGATTTCAACGACGTAGAGGGGTGGGCTCAATGATGTACCACTTATAAGCTATGCAACCACAACCTATTACACAATTTCTTTAAATCATGGATATACTTTATTATGTGATTTCTTTTGAGCTTCAGACTTTTTAATCATAAGCCAAACACTGACATTCCAGAGTGACTTTTGAGCCCATTAGGATTCCTTTCAGATTTACTTAAAAAACTTGGAAACTTTCAAGATCGGTGAATAAACCCCCTATGTACGTGCCTTGTGCTCTGAACAGCACTGAGTCATATAATGAGAGAGTGGGGCTTTTCTCTTATCTGTGCCTCTGTGTGCCTCAGATGTGTGCAGTCACTGTGTTGGCCTGGTGCTGTCAGCCAACTCCAGTGGAGAGGCCACATGCTCCTGTAACAGGTGAGTGCAGCTGCCCACCTGCTGCTGCAGACAGTTTTCAGATAGGGACCCCCACGAGCGAGTCCTTCAGATCCAGCTTGTGGAAACAGCTTTCTCGGAGCTCTGCTCAGGATCTTCCTGTTCTGTGGTGCCCCTGTGCCTCGCCTTCTTCGTCCTTTCCCTGGATTATCTGCCTACTGTTATTGGCCTTCTGATTGGAATTGGATGAGGGTGTTTGCGGCTGCCTGCCAACGGGACACGGCTTGAAACTGTGCTTCAGAGGAACACTTAGACCACAGTGGGCTAGATATCCATCCCTGTGGCTCAACATCCAATTAGGTGCATTTCTATAAAACACAACTCAGCTTTTACCACGCACATGTCCGCTGGGGCCTGCCACGAGGACACTGAGGATCCTGGCCACGCAGAAGGTCCTGTGACCTTCTTCTTTTAGCCGGTTCCTTCTTCTCTTAGGAAGCCTGAGGGCTGAGGCCCTGAAGGCAGACTGTGAACTCTCTGTAGCAAGCCTGCCTGTGCAGCTGGGGAGGGTCTCTCGCTGCATATGTATGTGCCTGCTCGTGTGTGTGCCTTGGTGATACCGAAGATGCCTGTGCAGGTTACGGGCACAGACGTCTGTGTGTGGGGGGCTTGGGAGGCAGAGGTCTCTGAGTCACAGCAGCAGACAAGGGAGGTGCTTCAAGACGTGCGATAAACACTCGCATCTCTGAGGTCAGCTGTGGCCGGAAAGCCGGCCCTGGGAAACCTGCTTCTGGGGCCCCGTGGAGACAGCTGTGAGTCAGTCTGTTCTGTTTATTTTTTTATGCCACAAGAAGTAAAGTAAACTAGGTTACAAAAACACATTTTATTGCATTTTGAGACTTTCTCATGAACAAGCCAGGCTGTTCCTTTTGCTTGCTCGGTGTGGCCACTACCAGGGACCTGAGAAGCTGCCCTTGGGCCAGCAGGGCTGCCTTCTGGTCCTCCACCACGCTGCACATTCAGGTTGTTCAAAGCTTCCAGTGAGATCTCAACCCTGGCCCCTCCCCAGGCCCACCGCACTCACAATGTCCATTTTTAGCAAAGTTGCCTCAATTCTGAAGCCAGGTCTGCAAACATGCTCGTGAACGGAGCAGTCTGGCGTGAGTGACTGGACTCCAGGAAAGAGCTCTGCCCGGCTAGCCCCCATGTTTTATGCTATAAACAAACAGGAGGCCTCATCCAAAGTGTTTCTGTATGTCACAACTGTGCTGCCTTGAAAGCACGCAATGTCTTAAAACTCTCATCTTCCAAAAACTTACCGGAATTCCATCGGCACCAGGGAACCCAGAGACACCTCTTGCTCCCTGTGAAGAAGGTGACAAGTCAGTGACGGCCAGGACACGGTGCCCCTTGGGAGCCAGAGGACGTCGGCATCCTGCTTACCACGTCTCCTTTGGGTCCCGCGGTCCCGGGGGCTCCTCTTTCGCCCTTGTCGCCTTTGCGGCCCTGCAGCCCTGGGAAGCCCTGCAGCCCGGGAGGCCCGGTGTAGCCCTGGGGGCCCACTGGCCCTGGCTGACCCTGTGGGAACAACGTACGTTCAGCTTCCAACTGAAAACCAGAACCAGTCACTTTCAGTCAAGTTATTTCTGGAACCAGGCTTTTCATTCTGGAGAGCTACAATCTGCAGAGAACTTGACGTAAACTACCGTCTTCTACCTCAGCAGCCAGAGGAGGGTTTCTGGCTAAAGAGTTTGAGGGGAAAAACATTAGATGGAAGAAAATGTGATCCTGAATGACATAAGTCACCGTGTGAAAGGGCGTCGGGCTGAGGTGAAGAGTGAACCTACTCGGCCGCTAGCCTTTTTCATAAAAAAGTTTCCCGATTTCCCCAATCCCAGCTGGGTCCTCAACACAACGCGCGTGGGGTATGCGAGTGTGTGTCAGCTGTCCAATGCCCCCATGTTCCAGAGTAGGGCATCTCTTCTCCTTCATACAAAAAATAAGGGGTGTCTAGAAAGACTTTTGTCCACACCCATTAGGATGGCTATTGTTGAAAACAACAAGAACCCCAAGCCCCAAATGTGTGAGGATGTGGAGAAGTCAACCCTGTGCATCGCTGGCAGCAAGGTGAGAGGGTGCAGCGCTGGGGAGAGGGTGATGTTGCCTCCCAGCACCAGATGGTGTCACAGGATCCCACAGCCTCACTCCCAGTCAGACCCCAGAGGACTGGAGGCAGGAACTGAACAGACACTAGCACCCTGGGTTCCCAGCACCATTCACATCGGCCAGGGGTGGACACAGCCCAGGTGTGCTCACATCGGCCAGGGGTGGACACAGCCCAGGTGTGCTCAGCAGATGACTATTAAACAAAACATGGTGGGTCCAGAGAGTGGACGACTGGCGGCCTTAAAAGGGAAGGAGGCGGGGCTGGGCTGTGACCCAGGGGTAGAGCTTCCTTAGACGCGCAGGCCCTGGGTTCCCTTCGGCACCACGAATACAGAAAGACAGAGGAGGGGAGGAAGTTCTGATGCCAGCCGCTACAGGGGCTACTCGTGAGGACTTGGGCTGTGACGCGAGCGGGTCGTCAGGAGGCAGACGCTGGGCGACCCCACTCCCGCAAGGCGCCTGGGCGGAAAGCCAGCGGCAGGTGCCAGGCTGGGGAGGGGGACTTTTGCTCCATGGGTACAGAGGATCAGGTTCACCAGGTGTGTGGTGGTGGCTGCCGCCTACCCGTGCGCCCCGAGGCAGCCCCAGGGGAAAAACCTTAGATGGAAGAAAATGTGATCCTGAATGACATAAGTCACCCGCGGCAGGAGCACTGAGTGGGAGCCTCACCTCTGGACTGTTCTTAACCCGCACTGCTGGAGGTGTTGGGCCTAGATGTGGGGGCCTCGGTGGGGTGACTCTTGGGGGGATCCTCTCCATGCAGATCAAGGGCAGGGTAGGTAGGTGAGATTTGGAAGCCCCAGCTCTGATCTAGGGGCCAGCCTCCTCCAGACGAGGCAAGCTCTGTCCAGGCTGGAATTTCATTCTAGAGCTGTGTGTAGCTGTATGTACCTGTATGTAGCTGTATGTAGCTGTGTGTAGCTGTATGTAGCTGTATGTAGCTGTGTGTAGCTGTATGTAGCTGTGTGTAGCTGTATGTAGCTGT